TCTCTACAAATAGCCATAGCATCTTGATAATTATTAATCATATATCTAGGACTTCCTGTGTACGAAGCAGGTAACACAATTTTTTGGCCTAAATTGTTTGCATCATTGTCACCTCTTGACATTGCATCATAAATTCCTTTGTAAATTTCACTTCTTAAATTTTTCTGATTTTGTCTAATATAATCCAGCCTATCTTCTTCAAGTGTTGCAAAGGAATCTACCAAATATTGTTGAAAAAGTCTACCACCTTTTAACAGTGTAGTTAAGTATGGATCTCTTTCTTGAATCTGGTAAGCTATATAAGCTCTCATAGGTATTCTTTGTCTCTTTGTTTTTGGACCGTTATAATTTTCATTCCATTTTAAATCTGGTCTATACCCATCTTCACCATATGGAAAAAGAATAGGATACTGAAGAGCCATAAATTTTGAATTCAATTTTGTAACACGCTTTAATCCTTCACTTTTACAATCTACAATAATATCTCTATTAGAGTCAGATAAACCTATATCACCAACTATTAAACCACCTATTTCATCACTTGTTGGTTGATCATATTGCTTGCTATCACTTGGTTGTCTCCCTAGCAATGTAAGTTTTAAATTGGTCAGACTATCAGTTTCATATTTGTCTCTCGCTGTTCGAAAAAGTTTGACCAACTCATTTGATTCATCAAACATTTTAATCAAGTTTTCCACAATTTTTGAATCAAGTTTTTTATTTGTTCCATCACAATCAAAAGCTCTAAGACGATTCTGTATTTCATTATATGTATCATAAACATATAACTGAGCAAATTTTGGAGACTCATTATCAACAGGTAAAAGAGAACCCATCAAATGACAAACTTGACCACTAATTTTAAAAATGTAAGGACTTGATCCGTCATTAATTGAGTGATCAACTTTTGCTCCCATTGAAGTAAATGAAAACATAGAGTTGTAAGCTCTAATATTTTCTCGAAATGATAAACTTTTTTGACTTCCATTTGGATCAAGCAATGAATCTAAAAAAGATGGTGTTGGCTTTGGACTTGAAAATTTAATTTTTCCTTGTTGACAACAGAGAGTGAAAATTGGTTGATTTTTTGTCCAGCTTTGTTTAAGAGACTCTTTTAACCAAAAATATGCACCGCAATACACGCATTTATAACTTTTATCACCCAAATCCATATAATCTTTCACAACCCCTACAAAAAAAACATATATAAAAAAATGTAATCACTATATGGAAGTAACTTAATCCTAAAACCAAGCCTAAAGAAAACAATTATTGCAAAAAATTCAAAACATACCATTTCTATTTTTTTGGAAAAATGCCTGACCCTTCTTCATGGGACAACAATTATCAGCATCTACGATTTTTTGAATTCTGTTTTCAACATTGTTGAACAAACTCACAACGTTTTTCCCTTTTTTATCAGAGGTGTACATGGTTTTTTCAAGCGGGATGATATCCAACATTTCATCATCGTTAACAGGCTCAATCACACAGTGGTTAGTAGAAGATGTACTGGAGGAACATTGATATTCAACTGATGAATATTTGCAAATAAATGTGTCAGTTGCAGACATAATAACATCTTCAGAATTATGCATATAACTCGCTCTACACATTCTTTTTCGCTGATGACCATCGTCAACCAATGTATTAGATTCACTGTCACCAACGCTTTTGTTTCGTTTTATAGCATCATTTGTTTGATCATTTGTACATTTTTCAGACATGATGGAAACAAACAAACAACTGCACAACAGATTAAAAAAAGAATGAAAAAAATCAATAAAAATATAAGATATATATATAAAAACAATAAAGATCACACAAATTAATGACATGTCAGAAGAGTTTCATTTCAATTTAACAAAATGCAAAAGAAAACTGCATTGTTAAAGTTTTAATAAATAATTTCAGAACTTTAAATAAGTTACCTTGAGGACAAAGCGCCTTGGAAGGTGAGAACAAATAGCTTTAAATCCAAAATACTCAAGATTTTTCAAATTCTGTTAAAAAAAAAAAACACATCATCAGAAAACTCATCAAAACAAATAAACACTTATTTGTTCACATGAACTATCTATTGTAATATATGATGATAGTGCACAGTTGAGTGTTTAAGATTATTAAATAACTGAAAGTTGGGGGTGGCTGGGTACATGTTTTCCTTTCGTTTTTTTTTTTTTTTTTTGGTGTTTATTTAATATCTCCAAGTGAACGGTAGTAGTTTCTAGGAAAACAAAAGTTGAGTTAATTATTAAAACAAAGAATATCATAGTTTACCAATGTGACAGAGATGCACTGTGTTTGCAAGATTAGAGATGAGCGCGGATGTACTTACGCTACCAAAAAATCCAAATAGAATTGATTACTGACTTTAACAATTAAAATCAAATACAGGCAGGAGATAGCAAATATTTGCATTGCATATCTTAGTAGAATGAGTGGTTATGAAGGAGGATTAGATTTATTCAATTTCGATACAAAGAGAATTAATTAATGCAGGAACAACATTTGTGCACATTGAGAATGAAATTAACTAATTAACTTACTAACCCCTAGTGTAAATTTCACACCTATACTCAAAACAGATTTTGTAACCAATATCCCAAAAAAGAGGCAAAAGGAAAGAAAAAAACCTTTGTATGGTATACTGCGGCGTTATTTGTGTAACCGAACTCAACCCAGCAACCTTCTTGTATACTTGGAAATTAGTTACAGATTTTATGGCTGCAGAAGAAAATCAAACAAAAAGTCTTAACTTTCCTAGAAAATTTTACTTCTTCCTAAAAAACAGAAATCTATTTTTAATCCAACAATTATCAGTGCATCCCCAAACTGGAAAAAAACAGAAGGATAGAAAACGTACCCAAAATATAACAGTAGCGTCACAGGTGCTTCAAAATAGTCACACCTTACTTTCTGACTCATTCGTATACTTGACTTTCTTTTCCTTTTACCTCAGAGCAAATTGTCTATTAGTTAAAGACCACAAAATCAAAATACTGGAAAGCCACAATTTACAACCCAAGCATATAAGATTAAGAAAAAATCAGGCAAAAAATAGCTACACAAACCAAATGAAATCCACAAAACTAAGCCAAATGTAATCTGTAAAGATCTGGCACAACACAGAGACCAATTTCCCCTAATTTAATTTTGATAAATGCAAAATGATCACAAATAACTCACTCAAAAATAGGAAAGCAAAAAGACCTAAAAACAACAAAAAGAACATTAAAACTGGAAACCAAGTCGTGATACTTCACCATTTGACATAGAAATTTTATCTTGCCTACACACACTGAAATCATTTTTTGCATCTATACACTGATAATTTGACATTCAAGACAGAAAAATTAATCATGACCATTCCTCTCTTTTTAAATTTTCAGGGAAAAATTGAACCACAAACAATCAAAAAACCCAAATAAAAAATAAATTTAACATCAAAGAGATAAATTATATACCTGACCCAAAAATGGCTTGCAAGCTCCAGAATAAAACCCCAAAAGACAACAAAATCTAATATATATATATATATATATATATATATATATATCTATATATCTATAATTCCCACATATTCGACTTTCACACTATAGAAAACACAACTTCACAATATTTAAAAAAAATAAAAAATTTGTTGCAGAAAATGCTATAAAAGGAAAAAACTGAAATTATTTACCTTGAGCATAAACGGCTTCGAAGTTGCACATAGAAGCCCCAAAAAACGAAGAGCAAAGTGTCATGAAACAAAAAAAGAGATGCAAATCATACAACCAAACGACAGTTCCAAGGATATAAACAAAACACCAAAAACTACAAAAACTAAATTCCAAAAAACATAGAGCATCGTGTTCTGAAACGAAAAACACAAACAAATCATACACCCAGACATCAGATCTAACGATATAAAGAAAACACCCAGAATTAGAAGGAAAAAAAAATTCATACAAAAATCCCACTTGAACATGGAAAACTACAAAATAAAGTTAAAACAGCAATACTTTAAAGGTTAAAAAAACTCACCAGCAACCAGAGGTGGACCTTGGAGGTAACAAATCCACCCTGATAAAATCCAAAAACCAACAAAATCAGTACTAACCCAGGGATTTTAAACGGAGGATGCAACAACTATTTATTTTTCCCAAGGGTTTTAAACGCAAGAAATTTGCACAGATGATTTGGCAGAGAAAAATGAGAAAGATGAGAAGATCGGAAACCAAAGGTTGAGAAAAGGAAAGCAACTGGAAACTGAAGGAGATTTGGAGAGATGTAATTGAAGAGAGGCAAACATGTTCTTGATTTTTGTTTTTTTAATTATATTTTGGTGGCAAGTCATGCATCATTGCTGCGAGATGTGATGGCGGGGTAAGGTTTTTTAATTATTTTTTGGTGGCAAGCCATGCATCATTGCTGCGAGATGTGATGGGGTAAGGTTTTTTAATTATTTTTTGGTGGCAAACCATGCATCATTGCTGCAAGATGTGATGGGGTAAGGTTTTTTAATTTTTTTTTGGTGGAAAGGCATGTACCATTGCTGTCAGTGTGGATTAGGTAAGAATAAAATGCTGGAATCGAAGAGAGAGCTGGATGGTTACACAAAAAGTAAAATAGAAGAGGGAGTCAGAATGGAAAAAAAAGATACTCAGGATGATCAACACGTGGCCAAAGAGTGAAAGCCCGAAGAAAAGAAGGATAACAATAAGGGTCTCTCCAACCCACGAAGCAAGGGAGAGAAACGGAAGAAAGCAAAGAAGCCAGGGGCAGATCCGTTCCGTCCGAACACTATTGCTGAACAGTGCCAGAAACCAACTGGGTTTTAGTAAATATAACTAGAAATAGTGCCCGCGCGTTGCTGCGGGATTACAAAACGGATATTAAGAATGATGAAGTTTGAATCAAAGGTGTAAAGCGCTTATACGTCCAATGACATCTTATTATTTAAAACATAAACAAAGTTAAATAGCAATTTGGAAAACAAATGCAAACACACTTGAACCCATGCACATCCATATATAGATTAAAAGTACCTATGAGAATGTCAACACTGTTCAAGCGAGGGTACAGTGTGTTATAATCTTGCAGAAAAAATCAATGGCGAGGGATAGGAGGGAAGACGCTTGCTAATTTTTGAAACACTGTTTTCGAGTTGAACAAAATCAAGGTTTCATGCGGTACTGCCTTGTATTGTGCCCTAATTTTAACAGTCCGAAAATCCATGATTTCATAACATCCACCGGCTTCAATTTTGGAGGCCATAACATCGTGATCACCATCTGATGTACAGCCCTCTACCGCATGTTGCTTCATTGTTACCATAAAATAAACACAACAAATCAAAACAGTTAAATAATTTGAGGCAAGATGTAAAAAAAATAAATAAATAAAAATCTAGGGGGGGCACAAAAATTTGCGATAGAAAACACCACACGTTCAACATAACCAAAGAGGCCGAAAAATTGAGAAAAAAACACGAAGACATGAAACAGATGGTTGACACATACATTTCGCTAACCATAACACAACTAATTTTAACCATTCGACATGAACATTATTTTACTCAATTAATTGTCATTGCCTCTACTTTTGATTAAACTAATCAAACAATGATTCCTTACCGCTTCATCGACGAACACACAATGCAGGGCAGTGTACTTCTGAATAGTTCCTAGGATGATGGATTTCCAAATTCTGCATATTCGAACTTTGATTTTGTCAGCCTTCATGTATGGTATTAACTGATTAACAGGAGTTGGGCAAATGTTTTCCATTTATCCTATGAAGAGGAAATTGCACCGACACATTAGAAATTCCCACAAACCCACAGAAAGAAAAAACAATAAAAATTATAAATGATGTGCAATCAACTCATCCATGCTGTGAAACAAAGAGACAAAGAGTTGATCACATAACTAAAACGGCTATCATGAGGCCAAAAAAAGGGAAAATTTTCAAACAAAAGATGTGAAATAAAAAAAGAAGGAAAAAATTCAAATGGTAGAGATCCTCGACATCTGTATCAAAAGGTTATATTTATTAACCAAATTATTAATACAATTCTTGCATCTTAATATGTATCTAAATATCTCCACCTTCATTTAGCAAAAGTCATGTTGGCGGTGGTGTTGTAGAGAGGACGAAGAACAAAGAAAAATCAAAACAGAAAAATAGACAACTAATTCATGAACCAATACCAACTCCCTCATGCGAAAAAACCCAAAGTCTCAAAAACTACAAACCCATTACAGTTTCATCAAGTGACTAACCTCAAATGCTCACCTGCAACGACACTTCTTACACCCTCTGTCTCTTTCCCCAACCTCTGCTTCCCCAAATGACGCACCTAGACCTCTCTCGCCACAGGAGCCAACTCCTCTCACAGTTTAAAACCCTAAAATCCATTCGAACCCATTAGCTAAACAAAGAACATCACAAAAATTAAACGATGAACTGGAAAAAAAAAAAAAAAAAAAAAAACCAACGAAGTCCACATCTCTTTAAACGCAACAGAAGAAAACCCTTTCACAGTTTAAAACCCTAAAATCCATTCGAACCCATCGACCAAACAAAGAACATCACAAAAATTAAACAATGTATTGAAAAAAACCAACGAAGTCCAGATCTCTTTAAACGCAATAGAAGAAAACCCGTTCTGCAAACCAACATAAAAATCTGCAAAGGAAAACAAAAATCTAAAAGAAAATCAAGCACCACAGAGTTATCAGAAGAAGGAAGCACCTGCGACGTTCTGAAAACCATGGTTGAGAAGAACAAAACACAAAAGCGCACCAAAGAGAAGCACACAACGGGAACCAAAAGAAAAGAGAAGCTGAGAGCGATAGAAAACCACCAATGCAAGGGAGAAACGGAAACAAAAAGCAAGCAAAATAAACCCCAAAAGAGAATAGCACGATGACCGACACGTGTCACACACAATTCCCAACTTGTCCCTGCACGAACCACCAAAAACAATCAGAAGGCATGAAAAAGCCTGAGGGCAATTTGGCCACTGGAAAAGAACCCACCCAGCGCGGGCAAAGTAGAAATTTTACTATAGAAAAGGAAGAAAGCAGCGCCAAAACCCAAACAAACCAGGGGCTGATCCGTCAAATCAGTATTGCTGAACAGTGCTGGTTTCAACTGGCTTTTAGTATATATAATATCTTTCCAACCACACAATATATGCACCACATCCCCATCCTATTCAATTCGATTATGGCAGCATGAGGGACAACTTTGCTTGATCTCCTGTTGTGAATGACACAAAATTTGTTGATTTCGTATGCATTGCCGACACTTAGATGATGGTCTAAAAAAAATTGGATGTCTCGACCGTTCATGATTCCGTGAATTGTATCTCCCTTTTAGAAGCAGAAATTAAAAAGCAGACATAATACTTAATGAGTGGTATAACATTTAACGCATATAGTTTAAGAATCATGTAAATAGGTAGTATAGCATAGGTGTGGCTACTTAGATAGTAATTAAGATCATATGCAAGATAACAATGGAGATTACTCCAAGAATCAAATCAGTAGCAGTCGAAGCAACCTTGCAAAATCACATTGTTTAATTTGTATAGGTTAAGAAACAATGAAAAAAATTAACGAAAAGAAGAATTGTTAGTTCATACTTAGTTTTGTTTTTACAATTATATGTTTGATCACAAAGTTTGTTGTACCAAGAACATGGCGCGCACAATTGGATACGTAAAAATGCTAGCATTCAACGATAACTAAAAAGGTGTAAAAATCTTACATCTTTATCAACGAAAACACAATCAAGACTTATAGGTTGAGAATTATCTCCGATGCTTTTTGTGACCCATATTCTGCATACCCTGATCTACAGTTTGTTTGCTGGCAGGTATGGCGTCAGAAAACGAATTGGCTGCTCCTCCAATAATCTACATATATAAGCAATTCATAGGCTAATTAAATTCAAAATTGAATAAGGTGATTTAACAAAGAGATGGCGGAGTCAGGTTTAAAAAAAAAAAACAAAAGGATAAAATAATAATGCAAAGTTATACCTCCGTGTAAATGTTTTAAAACATCTTTATAAACTATATTTTTTGAACAATTTTATTTATAAGAAAAAAAAAATTGAAAAGAATCTTGAAAAATCTGTGATGGTGGAAAAAATGGATTGAAGTGACTCTAAGGTAAGTAAGTATATGAAACATTTTGTCATGGTGATAATTCAACTTCAAATTCCTCTCTAACGTGATGAACAACTTTTTATCCACAGTTGAAGACCCTAAAAATGTAAACCCCTAATCCATACTTTAATTTGACACCTTCTAATAAAATCATATCCAACTTTATGAATCATTTTGAAGTAGTTAAAAACCATTAAGTTTAGAAGTAGTTAAAAACCATTAAGTTTAGAAGTCATTAAACTATTTACAATTGTTGTATTGTTTGCATGATACCATGCCTTCCATATTCAAATAGTTACATACCAATCGAGAATGAACAATATAAAATCGCCGCTCACCCCGTTTTCCCCATTAAAAAAACCACCCGGAAAACCACATTAATTACCATAGTTTTTAAGAATTCATATATGGCTGCAAAGAAAGAACTAACACGGCATAAACATCCACACAAATATATTTTTTGGAGGAACCAATTAAAAATTGTTGAAGAACCAAGTAAAATTTTCAAAGTTAAAAATGAGAATAGAATGTTTATAAAAAACAACTAAAGTTGCAATTTAAAAACAAATCCTTTCAATTTCATCAAGAGACGACATAAGGAAAGAAACAATTTATTTTTGAGAACAGCCCGCTCACGAATAATATCAAAACATTAATACAACAACTGTTTTAAAAGTGTATAACCAACAAATAAGCATGAGTCAAAGGATCCTATCAACTAAAAGAGAAATGCGAAAAATATATAAGCAGAGAAACATAATCCCAACACTCCAACACTTTATCCTTAAAACGGTAAAAGGGTTAATTGTTTACATTATTGATGTTATGACCGAACAAAAAAGGTTTACACGGCATTTATCTTATTATGTAACACCCATCCCGTCTCTATACATTGAAAACCCAGAAGGATGTTATGGTGGAGGCAAGGAAGAGCAAAAAAATTCCAATCTTTTTGCAGCAACCAAACTTGTAGATCCCACCAAAAACCCTCAAAAACACATGCTAAACTTCTTCATTCAACGGAACTTGTTTTTTTGGCGAATTACTACGATTTCCATGTGAATGGATAGTGTGGACCACCAATTTGTTTCAGTTTGCACCCTTACCATAAACACGCAAACCCATCCTTGTTTTTTCTATTTTGACTTCTTTCTTTGTATTGGGTCCTGGGGCAGTTTCTCTATATATCTATATCGTTTTTCGAATCTTTTTAATGTTTCAAGCCTTAGTCAATTCCTTTACATTTTTAACCAAAACTCCTCCTAGAATTTGTTGTTCGCTTCGATCAATCTCTTTCACCATTTTATCTACCCTGAATCACAAATTAAATACAGTGTCAAAAGTTATGTCTTTTAGAAAAATTTGTTCAGCTTGTAGGTCTTAGAATAACACAGTCAAAAATTTAAAAATTTTAAATATGGAAGTTGTGATTTTTTTTGGAAATATGTTTGGTTTGTTGAGAGATTGCAGTTGTTAACAGCACTTATCAAAACACTGGGTTAAATAAGAATCACAGAGACACCAAGAGACTTTCAAACAATAACAGAATTGCATAGACAAAATTTAAACCAAAAAATAAGAAAGAACCATTGGACCTCTGGAGAATCAGAGGTTTCAAAGATAAGCAAGAATGAGAAACAAAGCTTAGAACAAACATATCATATAAGCCGAAAAAACCAAGCAGTCATGTTAAAAATGATAAAATCACATTGTCTGAAATGTTAAAAATTATAAGATTTGTATCTATCCACTATATATATCATGAAATTTCAATAATAATAATAATAAATAAGTAACCACCACGAGGTGACCTGTAGTCAAGGACAAACTCCAGGCCTGTATTTCACACGTCACGTTCTGGGTTTGATTCCTGACACTAATGAATCACGCGATAGTGCCTAAAGAAAGGCTGAAACTGCCTTTATGAGTGTTCTTGACCTCTGATAAAATGGACTACCGTGACGAAACTACCAGCTAGTTCTCTAATTTTTTTTTTATAAAAAAGAATAATAAATAAAGTAGTTCGACAAAAAAATAATAATAATGAGTAGTTGGTGGATAAGAGTACTCCCTATTAAATAGAGTTGGGAAGAGATCATCCGGATCTCTTCTATTAAAACCATCAAATCAAGTGATCTAGATTCTTAAAATTTGATCTAACAGCTAAAATTATTATAACTTTTAAAGAAGTCTGTTTTTAGCTATTAAATCAAATTTTAAAGATTCAGATTACTTGATTTGGTGACTTTAGTGGAAGAGATTTGAAATGATCTCTTCCCAATAGAGTTCACTCTTAAAATTCCCAACGGAGTTCCTCCGGTGTCTTGTTACACTCTTTTACTCATTGAAATCCCAAACGAACACTAAAACCCCCTCGGAATCCCAATTGATTGGAGCACCGATAGCCAAGCTGGCAGAAGAAGATGGCGCACAGCGGCGGACCAAGGCAGGTGAAACTGGACCGAGAGAGCGAGCTCAGAATCGAAGTCGGCTACGACGCCCCTCTCAAGCTCCGCCTGCTCAGCGGCACCGCTGAGATCTTCGGCACCGAGCTCCCCCCTTATTTCTGGCTCACCTTCCCGCCCAGGCTCAAATTTGCTGTAAGCCTTCTTCTTCCCCTAGTTCTTTTCCCAAGTTTACATCTTTTTAATAGAATTTGGGTTGTGGGTTTTGAGTGTTAAAGATTTTGAATTGCATTTCTGTTGTGGGTTTTGGTTGTTGAAGGTTTTTACTTGGAACGGAGCAACAATTGAAATGGAGGGCAGTACGGAAACCAAGTACACGGTTGATGAGGTATTTCACATGCTTGTTATCTACTTTGGGCTTTTTACTTTTTGCTCCGGATGCATTTGTCACTAATGAGAATGTGAATGGTGTCTGATTCAAATGTTTGATTTTTCAGACTCCTAATATCAGCTATGTGAATGTGCACGCCATATTGGAAGAACGGAGACACCGCGCTAAACCCTTGCCGCCAGATGACCCCAATTCTCAGGTACTAATTGACACTTGCTCACTTCTATGTTGGGGAAAATTAGTGCAAAATTTTCAATGTGTTTTAATTAGTGTCATTCTTTAGTGAACAAAAGTGTTTGATCCTCAATTGCCAACTCTGTAAATTTTTAGGAATGATTGAGATAAGCTTGTGGCGCAAGTGCATCTCCATTTTTAGCAAGTGCATCTACTGTGTAGTAATGCAAGTCCATTTTTAGGTGCATATTACCTAGGATTGTTGTAATCCTTTGCCAAGTGACTCTCTGTCTGTGGCTTATAAGCTTCTTTGTGGTTAGGGCCCAAGGGTGATTGTTGTGGGACCAACAGATTCTGGGAAAAGTACCTTGTCGAAAATGCTTCTTAGTTGGGCAGCTAAGAAGGGATGGAAACCTACGTTCGTCGACTTGGATATTGGACAAGGAGCTATAACAATTCCAGGATGCATTGCCGCTACTCCTATTGAAATGCCTATTGATGCGGTTGAAGGAATTCCTCTTGATATTCCTCTTGTTTATTTCTATGGGCACACAACTCCTAGGTAATTGATTTATAGCATCTTCATATGGACCTATCATTTCACATCGTTTATTAATATCTGATAATAACATATAAGAGAAATTCTTGTATTGCTAATTTAGTGGAAGTCATGAATCCTTAAAGATCCATTTTTTATCCAGTAATAATGTAGATTTGTACAAAGTGCTTGTGAAGGAGCTTGCTCAAGTGGTAGAAAGACAATTTTCTGGGAAAATTTTGCACTAATTTTCCCCAACATAGAAGTAAGCAAGTGTCAAGTAGTACCTGAGAATTGGGGTCATCAGGCGGCAAGGGTTTAGCACGGTGTCTCCGTTCTTCCAGTACGGCGTGCACATTCACATAGCTGATATTTGGAGTCTGAAAAATCAAACATTTGAATTAGACACCATTCACATTCTCATTAGTGACAAATGCATCCGGAGCAAAAAGTAAAAAACCCAAAGCAGATAACAAGCATGTGAAATACCTCGTCAGCCGTGTACTCGGTTTCCGTACTGCCCTCCATCTCAATTGTGGCTCCGTTCCAAGTAAAAACCTTCAACAACCAAAACCCACAACAGAAATGCGATTCAAAATCTTTAACAATCAAAACCCACAACGCAAATTCTATTAAAAATATGTAAACTTGGGAAAAGAACTAGGGGAAGAAGAAGGCTTACAGCAAATTTGAGCCTGGGCGGGAAGGTGAGCTAGAAATCAGGAGGGAGCTCGGTGCCGAAGATCTCAGCGCTGCCGCTGAGCAGGCGGAGCTTGAGAGGGGCGTCGTAGCCGACTTCGATTCTGAGCTCGCTCTCTCGGTCCAGTTTCACCTGCCTTGGTCCGCCGCCGTGCGCCATCTTCTTCTGCCAGCTTGGCTCTTGGTGCTCCAATTGGGGGCTTTATGCAGGACAGTGTACAAAACTGGCGCTTTGTATTCAATTGGGATTCCGAGGGGTTTTTAGTGTTCGTTTGGGATTTCAACAAGTAAAAGAGTGTAACAAGACGGAGGAACTCCGTTGGGAATTTTAAGAGTGAACTCTATTGGGAAGAGATCATTTCGAATCTCTTCCACTGAAATCACTAAATCAAGTAATATCAACCTTTAAAATTTGATTTAACATCTAAAAATAAAAAAGTTATAATAATTTTAGTTGTTAGATTAAATTTAAAGAATTCAGATCACTTGATTTGATAGTTTTGATAGAAAAGATCTGGATGATATCTTCCCAACTCTATTTAATAGGAAGTACTCTTATCCACCAACTACGCATTATTTTTTTTTTTGTCGAACTACTTTATTTATTATTCTTTTTATAAAAAAAAAAATATTAGAGGACTAGCTGGTAGTTTTGTCACGGTAGTCCATTTTATTAGAAGTCGAGAACACTCATAAAGGCAGTTTCAGCCTTTCTTTAGGCACTATCGTGTGATTCACTAGTGTCAGGAATCAAACATGTGTCAGGAATCAAACCCAGAACGTGACGTGTGAAATACAAGCCTGGAGCTTGTCCCTGACTACAAGTCACCTCGTGGTGGTTACTTATTTATTATTATTATTATTGAACTTTCATGATATATATTGTGGATAGATACAAATCTTATAATTTTTAACATTTCGGACAATGCGATTTTATCATTTTTAACATGACTGTTTGGTTTTTTCGGCTTTTATGATATGTTTGTTCTAAGCTTTGTTTCTCATTCTTGCTTATCTTTGAAACCTCTGATTCTCCAGAGGTCCAATGGTTCTTTTTTTTTTTTTTGTTTAAATTTTGTCTATGCAATTCTGTTATTGTTTGAAAGTCTCTTGGTGTCTCTGTGATTCTTATTTAACCCAGTGTTTTTAATTGTTTATCAAATGTTGTTAGGCATTTTATTTGTTTTATGTTGGTTGCTTCCTTTCTTTTTTGCATTCTCACTTTATCAAATCGTTCTTCGAAGGTTAGTTACTTTGGTTGGTTGGTCTTTTTGTTAGGTTTTTCTAGTAGTCAACCGTCTCATCCTCCCCGAAGTGCTTTGATAAGTGCTGTTAACAACTGCAATCTCTCAACAAACCAAACATATTTCCAAAAAAAATCACAACTTCCATATTTAAAATTTTTAAATTTTTGACTATGTTATTCTAAGACCTACAAGCTGAACAGATTTTTCTAAAAGACATAACTTTTGACGCTGTATTTAATTTGTGATTCATGGTAGATAAAATGGTGAAATAGATTGATCGAAACGAACAACAAATTCTAGGAGGAGTTTTGGTTAAAAATGTAAAGGAATTGATTAAGGCTCGAAACATTAACAAGATTCGAAAAATGATACATACATATATATATATAAAGAAATTGCCCCATGACCCAATACAAAGAAAGAAGTCAAAATAGAAAAAGCAAGGATGGGTTTGCGTGTTTATGGTAAGGGTGCAAACCGAAACAAATTGGTGGTTCACACTATCCATTCACCAGGAAACCGTAGTAATTCGCCGAAAGAACAAGTTTCGTTGAATGAAGAAGTTTAGCATGTATTTTTGGGGGTTTTTGGTGGGATCTACAAGTTTGGTTGCTGCAACAAGATTGGAATTTTGTTGCTCTTCCTTGCCTCCACCATAACATCCTTCTGGGTTTTCAATGTATAGAGATGGGACAGGTGTTACATAATAAGATAAATGTCGTGTAAACCTTTTTTGTTCGATCATAACATCAATAATGTAAACAGTTAACCCTTTTACCGTTTTAAGGATGAAGTGTTGGCGTGCTGGGATTATGTTTCTCTGCTTATATATTTTTCACATTTCTCTTTTTGTTGATAGGATCCTTTGACTCATGCTTCTTTGTTGGTTATACACTTTTAAAACAGTTGTTGTATTAATGTTTTGATATTATTCGTGAGCGGGCCATTCTCAAAAACAAATTGTTTCTTTCCTTATGTCGTCTCATGATGAAATTGAAGGGATTCGTTTTTAAATTGCAACTTTAGTTGGTTTTTATAAACATTCTATTCTCATTTTTAACTTTGAAAATTTTACTTGGTTCTTCAACAATTTTTAATTGGTTCCTCCAAAAAATATGTGTGGATGTTTATGCCGTGTTAGTTCTTTCTTTGCAACCATATATGAATTCTTAAAAACTATGGTGATTAATGTGGTTTTCCGGATGGTTTTTTTAATGGGGAAAACGGGGTGAGCAACGATTTTTTATCGTTATTCTCGATTGGTATGTAACTATTTGAATATGGAAGGCATGGTATCATGCAAACAATACAACAATTGTAAATAGTTTAATGACTTCTAAACTTAATGGTTTTTAACTACTTCAAAATGATTCATAAAGTTGGATATGATTTTATTCGAAGGTGTCTATTTCAAGTATGGATCAGGGGTTTACATTTTAAGGGTCTTCAACTGTGGATAAAAAGTTGTTCATCACGTTAGAGAGGAATTTGAAGTTGAATTATCACCATGACAAAATGTTTTATATACTTACTTACCTTAGAGTCACTTCAATCCATTTTTTCCACCATCACAGATTTTTCAAGATTCTTTTCAATTTTTTTTTCTTATAAATAAAATTGTTCAAAAAACATAGTTTATAAAGATGTTTTAAAACATTTACATGAAGGTATAACTTTGCATTATTATTTTATCCTTTTGTTTATTTTTCTAAACATGACTCCACCATTTCTTTGTTAAATCACCTTATTCAATTTTAAATTTAATTAGCTTATGAATTGCTTATATATGAATTTCTTTGTTAAACATGACTCCACCATTTAGTCATCAATCCCTTACACACACACACACACACACACACACACAATGATATTATGTATTACATTCTAATTTTTCTTTACTTACATTTTCATTCTATTTCTTTATGTGTGTAAACTTACACTAATTCTCCATAATTTTCAGTCAATTCCATTGTAATTAAGATAAATATTGAGTATATACACACTTATAAACACACCAAATTCAGTTTTCCATACGAAAGCACATACGTCAAATCAATGTTCCTACTGTATTCATTTAATCAAATGATGCATCAAATATAATAATTAAATTATACCTCTAATTTAAAACCTTTTGATTTCGCTTCATCTGCAGCTAAAACCGAAATTTAGACAGTCCCCAACATAATTCTATCAAATACCAGATAGCAACACCATGTAAAAGTCATATTGGGTGTCCACACCCACACTTATACTTTACAAATAAATTTGAACTTTGAATCACTTGGGCTTCAAAAATATTTGCACATAAATTCGAAAGAAGATGAATAAATTAAAGAAAAATCATATCTACTGGCAATTCAAACTGACGTAGAGTTGCTATCCAGCTATGCCGAAGACAACTCTGTACTGTTGACAAAGTCTAGAACAACCTGGAAATTTAAAGAGATCAAATTTAAAGCCAAATAAGCAATCATTTACTGAAAATCTTCACAAAAAAAGTGCTAGTTTCACAAATAAATGAAACCCAGATTAAATTTCTTGATAAAAACTAAGAACTTCAAAGCTTAAGAAAACCCATGAATCCAACCATAAAAAATATGCAAACTTTCGCACTGGCAAACCATTCATAAACCAAAAGTGATATCTTAAACAAAACACATGAATCCAACTCAAAAAAGCTCAAATTTAAAACGACCAACTCAAACAAAATATCAAACATGGTTCATTGTCTCTCTTTGCATTTTAAATCACATAGTGTTGCCCAATATATTATCGTATTAACATTTCATATACTCATGCATTAGATAAAAAAGTATATCTATGTTACAATTACATGGACTGATTTATCATGGTTTAAGATAGCAACCACAAATCATAGTATCTACATGTTCGTCAAATTATCTAAAATACTAAAACAAAACCCTCACTTCTCACTACATGTTTAAGATACATGAACCCATACAAACCTCTTCACCATTCACCAATACCATTGGTGCTAAAAAACCAAAAGAAAATAAAAAATCATTAAATAAGATGGCTACTAACCAAAGCATCCTTTGAACAAATTAAGAAATTCAAATAAAATTAAACACCCAGAAAAAAAGAAACACAAAAAAGATATGCTTGAATTGTCAAGGAAATCAAGATACTAATAAATATAAAGATAAGTTTGAATTGTTAATCAAATAAAAAAATAAATAAATAAAACAAAGCATTTCCTAACGTTGATTATGTCTGATGAGTTAATGCTATGTGATTGCCCCGGATTAGTCTTTCCATCCTTTTCAAGCCATGAGATGATTGCTTCTGGTGTATTACTAAGAATTACACATTTCCTTTCAAAATTAGCATGAATATAATAGTGATTCCAGCAGAAAATAAAAGGAAAAAATGACAACCGAAAAAAATTGACAAACCAAGACATATAAGTTTAGTAGAGGGCAAACAATGACAACCCAACAAAACCAAAGATTTAATTAAATGAAGCATAATTCAGTTTAAATCTCATAATTTACTTATTTCATTTTTTGACCAATCAAACAAACCATCACCGGAGAAAGAACCAACACCAAAAAAAAAAAAGTTAAATACCTTGATCGCAAACAGCTTGCAAGGTTGCAGACAGAAAGGCCAAAATTCGAACAACTTCTTTTGCTGAAACCAAATATGAAAGCAAATCAGAAAGGCAGAACCAAAGCACGAAAAAAGAATCAAACAACATACAATCAAAAAAGCAGAAAACCCACCAAAAAACCTTAGATCGCATCGATAACTTTTCCTAAAACCAAAAATCAAACCGCATCGCAAAGGCACACCCAAACAATGAAAAAAAAAATTAAAATTAGACACGGCAAGAAACGCAAAAAACGCACCAGAGATCGTTAGTTTTCCGAGAAGAAAACGGCCGTGAATAATCGGCGAGACAAAGACGCGAAGGACGGATAGCGAAAACAACGAAGGCGTGGGAGAGAGAAAAAACCGTTCCAAAATGAGGAAAAGCTGAAAATGGTGAGAGAGAGTACGGAACCCAAAGAAAAGGCAGAGTAGAAATGGAGCGGAAGAACCACCGATGACAGACGCGTGGTTTTCAAGGGCAGAATCGTCATTGTACTGTAGAAAAAGCTAAAAGATATAGCTGACAGGAAAAAATTTGGAGGGCATTTTCGCCACTCCACTGTCCGTGAACAGTACACGGCGTTTGGGTTTTAGTAGAGAAACAATTTGTTGTTTTAAGAAATTGTATTTTTTTTATTTAACTCGACTTACTATGGATCTCTTTGTTCCATCCTTTCCCCATGTTCTGCTACAGAGTTTTTTGACTTGGTCAATTTAGAAAGTTGGAGGGTTGTACACCTCATTTGCTTTGTGCTAAGTTTAGTTCTCATCCGTTTTTCTTATTCTGGCAATCTTATTTTGAATGTATTGTATACTTATTTGATTTGTGCCTTTTGTGTGGTATGTTGTGTATTGGTAGTGTGTACGGTTTGTCTTAATGAATGAGTACATGGTTTGTGTGTACAGTTGAGAATTTGGATTAATTATATGATTATTTAAATTATTCTTAATTGCTTGGGGCTTGTGGGGTGGGAGGGGGGAAGAAGTAGAGAGAAGTAGGAGAGAAGGGGGCGGAAGACAAAGGAAAAAAAGGGGGAAAGAAACAGGCTGCGTTCTTTTGCTTGGATTTTTATTTGGATTTGTGGAATCACCATTAATGAATATATATGCAATCAGATATATATATATATTATGTAGGAATGTCCATGAAAGCAACAATAACCAATTTGTCGATTATTGCTCCCCGCTTCCATTATCTGTGATTTTATTATTTTTATTCTATAATACCATGCATCCATCACAACTTTTCTCCAACCTACCTGACCCAATGCCAAATAATGTTTTGCATATGTTTTCAATGATGTAATGTGGCCATTCAAATGATCTCAGAATGAGAAAGTGATCAATTGTGTTTCCGAAGTTCTGTGCCATGAAAGATAATCCTAAGATTCGGCAATTTTTAAACATTTTTACATTTATTTGGTAAAGGATGAATCCAACTTCAATCTTAGCTTTTTCATCATTTATTATGCTGCTTTTCTATTTCCAAGTTCTTATTTGTTTTACTTAGCTTTAATTTCATTTGATTGGCTTTAATTATATTAGATTTAGAGTATGTCCATGCTTTGAAGCTCTGACATTTCCAGGCTGTGATTTGGTTTAAGGTTTTGTGCTTGCCTTTGCTTCTGTGCATAAAGAAATTTAAGTGTTTTTCTCAATTTGTTTTGTTCTGTGCATTCAATTTAATTATTTTTGTCAATTTCTTTTCGTAATTTGATTTTCTTAGTTTGGGTGATTTGAACACCTAAATTATGTTCTGTTTTATATCATGTTGATTCAAAGAATGGCCCTTTCTCCTGCCAATCACTTGAACCTGAATGATTAAAAACAGTTCACATTGGCTTCCATTTCCAGGCTGTCATTTGGTTTAAGGTTTTTTAAATTTCCTTTGCTTCTGTGCATTTCAATTTCAATGTTTTTGTCAATTTAACCCAGTGCTTGCTAAATCTATTTCAGACAATGCGATTTTATCATTTTTAACATGACTTTGGTTTTTTTCGGCTTATATGATATGTTTGTTCTAAGCTTTGTTTCTCATTCTTGCTTATCTTTGAAATCTCTGATTCTCCAGAGGTCCAATGGTTCTTTCTTTTTTTTTTGGTTTAAATTTTGTATATGCAATTCTGTTATTGTTTGAAAGTCTCTTGGTGTCAGTGTGATTCTTATTTAACCCAGTGTTTTCAATTGTTTATCAAATGTTGTTAGGCATTTTGTTTGTTTTATGTTGGTTGCTTCCTTTCTTTTTGGCGTCCTCACTTTACCAAATCGTTCTTCGAAGGTTAGTTACTTTGGTTGGTTGGTCTTTTTGTTAGGTTTTTCTAGTAGTCAACCGTCTCATCCTCCCCGATGTGCTTTGATAAGTGTTGTTAACAACTGCAATCTCTCAACAAACCAAACGTATTTCCAAAAAAAATCACAACTTCCATATATAAAATTTTAAAATTTTTGACTATGTTAGTCTAAGACCTACAAGCTGAACATATTTTTCTAAAAGACATAACTTTTGACGCTGTATTTAATTTGTGATTCAGGGTAGATAAAATGGTGAAAGAGATTGATCGAAGCGAACAACAAATTCTAGGAGGAGTTTTGGTTAAAAATGTAAAGGAATTGATTAAGGCTCGAAACATTAACAAGATTCGAAAAACGATACAGATATATAGAGAAATTGCCCTAGGATCCAATACAAAGAAAGAAGTCAAAATAGAAAAAACAAGGATGGGTTTGCGTGTTTATGGTAAAGGTGCAAACCAATTCATTTATATGTAGATTATTGGAGGAGCAACCAATTCATTTTTTGACGCCATACCTGCCAGCAAACAAACTGTAGATCAGGGTATGCAGAATATGGGTCACGAAAAGCATCGGAGATAATTCTCAACCTATAAGTCTTGATTGTGTTTTCGTTGATAAAGATGTAAGATTTTTACACCTTTTTAATTATCGTTGAATGCTAGCATTTTTACGTATCCAATTGTGCACACCATGTTCTTAGTACAACAAACTTTGTGATCAAACATATAACTGTAAAAACAAAACTAAGTATGAACTAACAATTCTTCTTTTTTTTTTTTTTCATTGTTTCTTAACCTATACAAATTAAACAAAATGTGATTTTGCAAGGTTGCTTCGACTGCTACTGATTTGATTATTGGAGTAATATCCATTGTTATCTTGCATATGATCTTAAATGCTATCTAAGTAGCCACAATTATGCTATACTGCCTATTTACATGATTCTTAAACTATATGCGTTAAATGTTATACCACTCATTAAGTATTATGTCTGTTTTTTAATTTATGCTTCCAAAAGGGAGATGCGGTTCATAGAACCATGAACGGTCGAGACATCCAATTTTTTTTAGACCATTTAAGTGTCTGCAATGCATACGAAATCAACAAATTTCGTATCGTTCACAACAGAAGATCAAGCAAGGTTGTCCCTCATGCTGCCATAATCGAATTGAATAGGATGGGGATGTGGTGCATATATTGTGTGGTTGGAAGATATCACATGCTAAATATCTCATTACTAGGTGTGGTGCATATACTGTGCATAGTGTTTCCTGACCTGAGTTGTATATATGATATTTTGGTGGATTTCACGTTATTTACAAAATTGCCACCACCTTTTCGTTCTTCGTTCGGTGAGGGTTTCGGGGATGGGAGGCCATGCCGCATCAGAGAGAGAGAGAGAGAGAGAGAGAGAGATGAGTGGGGATCTCAGCGCCATTGCTGCAGATCCTCGATTTCATGAGTGGGAGAGGGGGTACAGTCAGAGAAAAACATGGGGACCATCGGGATTTGAGGAAGAGGGGTATTTGGCTTATTTTCGTCAGATTTCTCAGACGCTTTTGCTAATGAAGAGAGTGTTCGGTTCTTTGATTTCTTTTGTCTGCCTCCTTCTATGTTGCTTTGTCAGTTTCATTTTCCAGTGCTGGCTCATGGAAATTTGTAAAAATGGCTGTAGTTTTCTGAGAAGGTTATGTTTTTTGTGTAATCCCATTTGAGGTTAAAAATGATGAAAATTTTGTATCCGAATCAAGGAATTGATTATTGAGAATTGAGTTTGTGATTTACAGTTCATTTTGGTATTTGATTGATAGTCGGTGCTCATAATTTGGATTTTTTTAATTAAAATTGTTTGCAGAGAGAGAGAGAAAGAGTTCGTTCGACGCTTAAACCAGAGCCAGGTATATCTCTCCTCTTGCTTTCTCTCTACGATGTTCTATCCCAATTTCTCTCAGACAGTAAGGGTTTTGGTTTGCTTTCTTGGATTAGATTTGTATATATTCCATTGCATCTCAGTTTTCTCTGATTTAATAGCATAATTTTCTTAGCATCAAAATTGTATCTGGCTCTTGGTTTTCTTGATCTAATTTTTTATTTATTTCTATAATTAGATAAATTAAGGAATAAATTTATATTAGTATATGAGTATTCGATTCTGATATAAAATTTATATTAGTATATGAGTATTCGATTCTAATATCATATATTAGTATATGAGTATTCGGTGTTTGCTAAGGCGCTTCTCGAGACGGCGTTGGAATGTGCAGGTGATGAGGATTCAGGGGATGAGGAGGAAATGGCAAAGGAGGAGGACCAAAACGCGCTCTCTGTTAGGATAATTGATGCCCTGAATTCCAGAAAGTCTGCACTTCACCACTCATTAATTATATGGTTTGTTCCTTTGGTTTTTATGGTTTAAAGGTGTTTATTTTGATGTTGTTTTTGATACATTGTTGAATATATTGTTAGTTTAGTTATTGATTGTACCGAGTGTGGTTTATGCTTTTGGTATTAAGTAGTTTTTTCATATCCCTGAACTCCTTTTCAGGTAGAGAAACGTGAGTTCTTCTAAGGTGTTTAAGTGAGTGTCAATCAGAGAGTATTTTGTTCGAATATCTGTCCAAACATAAAATTTCTTTGGAATGAAATAAATGAAACAACTTTTGAGACTCCCACATTTGAGATGTGTATTGGTTCTGAAAGTATAAGACCAAAAGTTACATTTTCATTCCCATTTACAGAAATACAACTTGCAGAATTAGTTAAATGTATCAAATGACTAGCATGTGAATTTGTGTATGGTTAAAAATAATCTTATCCTTAAGGATTATTGATTGGGCAAATTTGGTTGAGTAAATTTAGGGTTATTGATTGGGCTAATTTGGTTGATTAGTTGATATGATTTGGATGGGTTTGAGGGTTAGTTTCTAGGAATGTTCTATTGGTGTTCATTTTCTTCTACAGAGTTACCAAAATCTCAAGTCCCCATTTGATCCTTGAGTACGACCCAATCATATTTGCTGTAATACAATCATATTCTTGAGGTTTGGATTTTTTACTATCATGTTTCTGCCCAATCATATTTGCTTGTGTTTTCGTTAGAAAATACGCGCATGTTCTCTAAACTAAAATACACTTCTCAGATTGATGTGATTATTGGATTGGATTTTCCTTATTTACCTTCATATAATGGTGGGTTTAACTTTTTAGGTGAAAGTTTTTACGCAACCTCATTACTTGCAAAATTTTGTTCAGTCAACATTCAATGCCCTACCATCAGATCAAGTTAAAGGTACGAATCACGATCATGCTATTTTTGTCACTTTTTATTCCCTTGCTGAACACAATGGAGTGAATTGTCTTCATTTGCATTCTTGCATTTGAACTTACGTATGTTCTTACCTGACATTTGTAAGCTTTTGATTAGTCATGAAATATGATACATTTTCTCCGTGTTTAAAAACTTATGACAGACAATCAGTTTCTTTTTGGTTGGGTTGAAATGATATTGATTGTGCTGCTATAAAGTTCCTTTTTATAGTTGGGTTCGAAATCATGTTAATAGAATCTTTTTTTGGTTGGTCCGATCTGTAACAGATGAGATTGCTTTGTTTGAATCAAAATTTGATCTTTTTTTGTGTGAAATTATATTGGAATCGCAAATTTGTTAGGTATATCTTAGATTCTTTGCTGCATATTCACCTTCTCACAACTTTTACATTGTCTCTTGATTGGATGGATTTTTATAATTTCCATGATCAACGGATGCATGAAGTAAGGAGGAAGCTACTACTTTTATGGAGCTTCTTTGGCATGGTAATTTGAAGTTGCAAATGATTTTTTTTCGTTCACGGAATTCATTATCTTGCTATATTGGCAATTAGCAGTGTTTGACAATTGGCAAAGTGTATTCATTTTTCTGCTTAATTTATCTTGAGAATATTTGCATCTTAATACTTATTTTAATTATGTTAATTTGTCCCCTTTTCCATAGAATTTTGTGCAGTGTGAATGTAGGTTATTCTCAATCCTCAGATAGTGATTATTTAAGGACTTATCCAAACTTGGCTACTCAGCTTTTCAAATACAGAGCAGAGAGGAGTCAGATGAGCTAGAATCAAGTTGGTATCATTCTAAATTATTCTTAATCATTTACAACTTGCAGAATTAGTTAAATGTATCAAATGACTAGCATGTGAATTTGTGTATAGTTAAAAATAATCTTATCCTTAAGGATTATTGATTTGGGAAATTTGGTTGAGTAAATTTAGGGTTACTGATTGGGCTAATTTGGTTGATTAGTTGATCTGATTTGGATGGGTTTGTGGGTTAGTTTCTAGGAATGTTCCATTGGTGTTCTTTTTCTTCTACACAGTTACCAAAATCTCAAACCCCCATTTGATCCTCGAGTACGACCCAATCATATTTGCTGTAATACAATCATATTCTTGAGGTTTGGATTTTTCTCTCATGTGTGTTCTCTAAACTAAAATGCACTTCTTAGACTTCTGTTTCTTATGGAAACGGGCATCCTGCATGTTTTTTGCTTTGCATGTTTGTGCTTGAAAACTTAGATGCTAGAATAAGAATGAAACAGTTTTTATATTTTTTTGTCAACTGCTAAAACATGTGCCTAACCTACAGGATATATATTTTGCCACCTTGACTGCAGGGGCTAGATTTGTGTGAAGATCATGTTGCTTCTCTTTCTTCTGTTTATTAGGGAAACAGAACATTCAGTTTCGTCCGGTTAATTGTACAATGTCTTTTCATGTCAGCTAAGTTGAATGTATATAAAAACGAAGCTGCATATCTTACCGACCCCATTCACTCATCTATCCCTCTGTGCATTCATGATTGTGCTGAATTTATTCAGGTAAAATGTGTTTTATTCATGCAGTTCAAGATGATGCATTCAAGTCCCGCAGCAACGCGCGAGCATATTTTCTAGTTAATTACTATTGGTTTTCCCTCAATATAGACAACATTAAATTGGTCAAATTTATTTAGTAAAGTTTTTATGATTGTAGAATTTCTTGTTTAAATTTCTGGTTTTAGAGAATTCTTCATTAAATTTCTGGGTGCTTTTGAGGTTATTTTATCTGTGAGATTTAGTAATTTTTTCTAGATTTTGTAGAATTGTTCGATTAAATTTGTGGGTTTGGTTATTTTTTATTTTGTGCATTTTATAGTGAACTTGGTTGTGGGTTTCGATGTTTGTCTATGGCAAGGTAAGGGATGCCAACTCATGAACCAAGTGGCCTTTCAGCACCTGTAGGAGATGAGCGAAGTGATATGGTATAGTTTCCTTTAATTTTTACAATTGCTAAATGTAGATGACCAAAGCGAAATATCATTGAGCTCTTTGCAAATTCAGATTGTTGATTTTTTTTTTCCTTTCAATTGCACGTCCACAAAATCCCTTCAAGTATTGGTACGACTAAGTTGCAACTCTCACAAAACAACGGAGACACCGCGCTAAACCCTTGCCGCCCGATGACCCCAATTCTCAGGTACTACTTGACACTTGCTCACTTCTATGTTGGGGGAAATTAGTGCAAATTTTTCAATGTGTTTCAATTAGTGTCATTCTTTAGTGAACAAAAGTGTTTGATCCTCAATTGCCAACTCTGTAAATTTTTAGGAATGATTGAGATAAGCTTGTGGCGCAAGTGCATCTACTGTGTAGTAGTGCAAGTCCATTTTTAGGTGCATATTACCTAGGATTGTTGTAATCCTTTGCCAAGTGACTCTCTGTCTGTGGCTCATAAGCTGCTTTGTGGTTAGGGCCCAAGGGTGATTGTTGTGGGACCAACAGATTCTGGGGGTGTTGTATCCAGGAATGCCAAATTCCGTCAAAAATCCAGGAGTCATAGGATAAGGGTAAGCATCAATATGTTGCCATTTAATCCTTGTTATTTGTTCTTCCTGAAGAAAAGACTCATGTGCGCTGATATTTCTAACAGGAGTATTTCTATGGCCTTGCAAATGATCTCAGCCCACATTCTAATATCGCGAATTTTAGTGACTTTTCTGTCTTTCGGATTGGGGGCGGGCCACAGGCCCCACGTTCAGCTTTGCCAATTGGTGCAGAGCCTGCTGCGGACCCTACAAGATTGGCGCCTGTGAATATTAACCGGGATTTGCTACATACCATTCTTGCTGTTTCATTTGCCAAGGAGCCTGATCAAATTATTTCTAGGTAACTTGTACCGATCTATCTGATAGAGAAATAGATAATGAATGACTGAAGTATATGACATTGATCAGTCTCGTTCACTTTCATTTGAACTTCACATAGGAAAGTAGATGGTTTTACCCCCTCACTGTCACAAGAATGAAAATACATAGTAGTATTGTGGTATTTCTTGCTTGCTTTTCCGTCTCTGGAGATAGGGATGCGAATTTGACGGTGACATTTTGTATTTCAGAGTATGATTCGTAGTCTGTAGTCTTAAATATTTACTTTTTTGGTTTGTTTTGCAGTAATGTTGCTGGGTTTGTCTTTGTCACAGACGTCGACATTCAGAGGTTTGTATGGTGAACAACTTGCTAGAAACACTTCTTGTATTCTGGTTTTCGTTGTTCTAACCCAATATGCGGCGTTACAGGAAGACAATTACGTACCTTGCACCATCGGCGGGTGAGCTTCCAAGCAAGTATTTGATTGCAGGAACCGTGACATGGCTTGAAACATGAAGTCGATGAGCAAAAACCCCAGTAGTATTGCTTTCCGGTGGATGTACGTTGCTGGCTTATGTAAGGAGTGTAAGATGTGAGCTATCTAGGCGTAAAATTAGTTTTAACGATGCATCCCAAATACGACAACAGATTAGAATATTATTGTCGTTTTTTTGCATCCTAAATTTGTTATGCGAGTCTTGTTTGTCGTATTTTAGATTATACTAGAATTTAGAAAGGCGTGCCAAAGCCTGAATTACAGGCAACCACAATTTTTTTTTTTTTTTTGTTTTTTGGTTTTCTGTACAAGATATTTAAACGAAGGACTAAGGGATGGAGGAATAAATTGGCTAAGTGGCATTCAGGTATTGTTCAACTGTGATATAACCTATAAGTTAAGGTAGCCCTTGCAATATGAGCTCTTTCAATTTATCCGAGGCATAAAAAGGTGCTGCAGCTGCAGCTGCACTTCCACAAAATCCTTTCAAGTATTGGTACGATTAAGTTGCAACTCTCACAAAAGAAACCGTTCACAAGACGAAAGCACCAAAACGCAATTCATGACAGAAGCACCAATATGCAATACAAACAAAACCCAAAGCACCAAAAAACGCAATTCATGACAGAAGCACCAATATGCAATACAAACAAAACCCAAAGCACCAAAACGCAATTCATGACAGAAGCACACACAAGCCAATAATTTCAACGAGTTTAAAGCGAATGAGTCGTAAACCTCAAAAGTGACATAACCAATCCTCTCTCTCACTCGCGAGTGACATAACCAACAGCTGCAGTACAGAGTCTTATTAAGGCTTGGTATTTATCACTGACATAACCCACAGCTGCAGTGCAGAGTCCTCTTAGGATTTGGAAGGACTTGGTCCCAATTATCGCAAAATATACGGCCCAACATGCAAGAGTAAACCACCCGAAAGCTGGAACGAGGAGGAGCACCAGTAGCACCAACGCAAGAGTTCCACACAAGAGGCTGATGTTGTTCATGAGTTCATATATATTTGTATTGTTGGAAGCTTGGAGAATGTTGGCAGTCTGCAATGTCCCCGCGTAAGTGAGTAAATCAGCAATCAAGATCACAACAGTGTTGTGGTCTGTGACAAATGGAGACGGTAAATTTGCGGTCGCATGCTTCACCTGGAGGAGAACTCCTAGGCTGTTGATGGAATAGAATATAAGTTCGTGTGCTGCCGGTGGAGATTTGTACCGACCACCCTCCTCCATAGTGCTGCTGTATTATAAACAACACAGAAAGTTAATGAATGGGAAAATGATCTCTGGAACATTACTCTAATGATATCAGGAGTTCCTAATTTTCAATTCTTCCATATTAGTTAATGACGTTGACATGTGTCATCAACCGTTAGAATATCTGCGCACAACCCAAACTCATTTGCTAGCTAATTAAGAACATGAGCTTATAAAAGACCCCGTTTCATATACATATTGATGAGAAGGCATGTTACAGAGTATCTGGAAACCAAATTTATTTGATCCATAACTTGGACCTGGAAATTGAAAACGAAAAAGGAGGTTACGCAGAGTATCATAGATAGATTAACAAGATTGTTTACTCTTTCCCTTATGCTTTACAATCAGCTTCTGACGAAAGAGTAGATGCAACAAAATATGATAACTAAAGAAAATGTACTAACCCAGCCGAGAAAATTTTCAACTGAGAAATTTCACTTTCAAAACTTGGTTACAGATTTTTATTTTAGTTTGGAGGAGGAGAGGGGTTATATATAGGAGTGAGAGAGAGGAGGGAGGAGTTCGTGGCATGTTGCTCAAAATTTTCAAATGTTGAACGTTCAACTTTGAGCAACAAAACAAAAATTTTGCAACAAAAGAAAACAAAAATTTTGCAACAAAAGAAAACAAAAATTTTGCAACATAAGAAAACAAAAATTTTGCAACAAAACAAAACAAAAATTTTGCTCAAAGTTGCAAAACAAAACATGTTGTTTTGAGCAAAATTTTTCTTTAGTTATCATATTTTAGTTATCATATTTTAATGTTGCATCTACTCTTTCGTCAGAAGCTGATTGTAAAGCATAAGGGAAACAGTAAACAATCTTGTTAATCTATCTATGATACTCTGCGTAACCTCCTTTTTCGTTTTCAATTTCCAGGTCCAAGTTATGGATCAAATAAATTTGGTTTCCAGATACTCTGTAACATGCCTTCTGATCAATATGTATATGAAACGGGGTCTTTTATAAGCTCATCTTCTTAATTAGCTAGCAAATGAGTTTGGGTTGTGCGCGGATATTCTAACGGTTGATGACACATGTCAACGTCATTAACTAATATGGAAGAATTGAAAATTAGGAACTCCTGATATCATTAGAGTAATGTTCCAGAGATCATTTTCCCATTCATTAACTTTCTGTGTTGTTTATAATACAGCAGCACTATGGAGGAGGGTGGTCGGTACAAATCTCCACCGGCAGCACACGAACTTATATTCTATTCCATCAACAGCCTAGGAGTTCTCCTCCAGGTGAAGCATGCGACTGCAAATTTACCGTCTCCATTTGTCACAGACCACAACACTGTTGCGATCTTGATTGCTGATTTACTCACTTACGCAGGGACATTGCAGACTGCCAACATTCTCCAAGCTTCCAACAATACAAATATATACAAACCTCTGAATGTCGACGTCTGTGACAAAGACAAACCCAGCAACATTACTGCAAAACAAACCAAAAAAGTAAATATTTAAGACTACAGACTACGAATCATACTCTGAAATACAAAATGTCACCGTCAAATTCGCATCCCTATCTCCAGAGACGGAAAAGCAAGCAAGAAATACCACAATACTACTATGTATTTTCATTCTTGTGACAGTGAGGGGGTAAAACCATCTACTTTCCTATGTGAAGTTCAAATGAAAGTGAACGAGACTGATCAATGTCATATACTTCAGTCATTCATTATCTATTTCTCTATCAGATAGATCGGTACAAGTTACCTAGAAATAATTTGATCAGGCTCCTTGGCAAATGAAACAGCAAGAATGGTATGTAGCAAATCCCGGTTAATATTCACAGGCGCCAATCTTGTAGGGTCCGCAGCAGGCTCTGCACCAATTGGCAAAGCTGAACGTGGGGCCTGTGGCCCGCCACCAATCTGAAAGACAGAAAAGTCACTAAAATTCGCGATATTAGAATGTGGGCTGAGATCATTTGCAAGGCCATAGAAATACTCCTGTTAGAAATATCAGCGCACATGAGTCTTTTCTTCAGGAAGAACAAATAACAAGGATTAAATGGCAACATATTGATGCTTACCCTTATCCTATGACTCCTGGATTTTTGACGGAATTTGGCATTCCTGGATACAACACCCCCAGATTTTTGAAGTTTTACAACGTCCACACCAGGCTTGTTCTTTAGTACATTTCTGATCATGCTCCAAAGTTTTTCCTGAGAATTTAAAAGAAATATATGTACTGTCATCGGAGCCTACATATACAACCATTTTGTTAAAACATCAAAATGTTTTGCAAACAAGGATGCATTGTAACGGAGTCGAGCAACAATAGCAGAGAGGGGGGGGGGGGGGGGGAGAGGAGGGGAAAGAAGAAATGCTTGCAGAATCCAGTACGGTAAAATCATAATAAGAAAGAAAACTCAAACCAGAGGGATGTACCTGGCCCAGAACTAAGACAACATTGGCATTGAATGTATCAATTGCATGAAGAAGCAACTGCAAGAAAATCGACCAAGAATTTCAAATATATGACATTAAAACAACCATTTCAATAGTAAGTCAGCAGCCATCCCTGAAGTGCAAGCAGCCTAAAAATTACCTCGTAGCCTTGACCTTCTATCCATCCCATGGTATTGATCACCATTCCAGAAGCTCGAGATTCAGCATTCCCAGAAAGTTGTCTTTCTACCACTTGAGCAAGCTCCTTCACAAGCACTTTGTATAAATCTACATTATTACTGGATAAAAAATGGATCTTTAAGGATTCATGACTTCCACTAAATTAGCAATACAAGAATCAGATATTAATAAACGATGTGAAATGATAGGTCCATATGAAGATGCTATAAATCAATTACCTAGGAGTTGTGTGCCCATAGAAATAAACGAGAGGAATATCAAGAGGAATTCCTTCAACTGGATCAATAGGCATTTCAATAGGAGTAGTGGCAATGCATCCCGGAATTGTTATAGCTCCTTGTCCAATATCCAAGTCGACGAACGTAGGTTTCCATCCCTTCTTAGCTGCCCAACTAAGAAGCATTTTCGACAAGGAACTTTTCCCAGAATCTGTTGGTCCCACAACAATCACCCTTGGGCCCTAACCACAAAGCAGCTTATGAGCCACAGACAGAGAGTCACTTGGCAAAGGATTACAACAATCCTAGGTAATATGCACCTAAAAATGGACTTGCACTACTACACAGTAGATGCACTTGCGCCACAAGCTTATCTCAATCATTCCTAAAAATTTACAGAGTTGGCAATTGAGGATCAAACACTTTTGTTCACTAAAGAATGACACTAATTAAAACACATTGAAAAATTTGCAGTAATTTCCCCCAACATAGAAGTGAGCAAGTGTCAAGTAGTACCTGAGAATTGGGGTCATCGGGCGGCAAGGGTTTAGCGCGGTGTCTCCGTTCTTCCAGTACGGCGTGCACATTCACATAGCTGATATTTGGAGTCTGAAAAATCAAACATTTGAATCAGACACCATTCACATTCTCATTAGTGACAAATGCATCCGGAGCAAAAAGTAAAAAAACCCAAAGCAGATAACAAGCATGTGAAATACCTCATCAGCCGTGTACTCGGTTTCCGTACTGCCCTCCATCTCAATTGTTGCTCCGTTCCAAGTAAAAACCTTCAACAACCAAAACCCACAACAGAAATGCAATTCAAAATCTTTAACAATCAAAACCCACAACCCAAATTCTATTAAAAAGATGTAAACTTGGGAAAAGAACTAGGGGAAGAAGAAGGCTTACAGCAAATTTGAGCCTGGGCGGGAAGGTGAGCCAGAAATCAGGGGGGAGCTCGGTGCCGAAGATCTCAGCGGTGCCGCTGAGCAGGCGGAGCTTGAGAGGGGCGTCGTAGCCGACTTCAATTCTGAGCTCGCTCTCTCGGTCCAGTTTCACCTGCCTTGGTCCGCCGCCGTGCGCCATCTTCTTCTGCCAGCTTGGCTCTCGGTGCTCCAATTGGGGGCTTTATGCAGGCCAGAGTACAAAACTGGCGCTTTGTATTCAATTGGGATTCCGAGGGGTTTTTAGTGTTCGTTTGGGATTTCAATGAGTAAAAGAGTGTAACAAGACACCGGAGGAACTCCGTCGGGAATTTTAAGAGTGAACTCTATTGGGAGAGATCATTTCGAATCTCTTTCATTAAAGCCGCTAAATCAAATAATCTGAACTTTTAAAATTTGATTTAACAGCTAAAAACAGGTCATCTTTAAAAGTTATAATAATTTTAGTTGTTAGATCAAATTTTAAGAATCCTGATCACTTGATTTGATGGTTTTGATAGAAGAGATCCGGAAAATCTCTTCCCAACTCTATTTAATAGTGAGTACTCTTATCCACCAACTACCTTATTCATTATTTTTTTTTGTCGAACTACTTTATTTATTATTTTTTTATAAAAAAAAAAATTAGAGGACTATCTGGTAGTTTCGTTACAGCAATTCATTTTATTAGAGGTTGAGAACACTCATAAAGGCAGTTTCAACCTTTCTTTAGTCACTATCGTGTGATTCACTAATGTCAGAAATCAAACCCAGAACGTGACGTGTGAAATACAAGCCTGGAGTTTGCCCCTGACTACAGGTCACCTCGTGGTGGTTACTTATTTATTATTATTATTATTGAAATTTCATGATATATATAATGGATAGATACAAATCTTATAATTTAAACTCGTTAAGATGTGTTTTTGCTCATAACTTTTAAGTGATGGTAATGTTCACCACCTTATTTATTATTGTCAAATAAGTTTAAATTTTGAAATTTGTGTCCATCCTACACAAATTTTAAAATTTAAACACATGTAGGATAAATATGATCGTAAGCATCACCATCACTTGATGATGATGAGTCGTTGGCCTGTCTTTACAAAAACTTGACATGGTATCAGAGCGAACCTTTTATGATAAACTCTCGCACCAACTATTATATTGTTTTGCATATAAAAATATCGGCGTGATTAATAGTTGACCCTCAAGAAAACCTTTGGCCGATCTTGTAATTCTAGGCACTTTCGCAGATGGATTCACGAAAGAGTCCATGGGACCATGACTTTGTAGGCTCCTTCTTGTTCTCTTTCGAAGAAAGTTGAAGGGCAATTGCCACTTTACCTTTCCAAGTCCTCGGCACTTCGTGATAACTTCATGGTAAATTCTACGCACCTTCCATACGTGGGTTCGCTTAAATAACCACAAACCCCCCAAATCAAACCTCACTCGATCGAAAGCTCGAACCCAAAAACTTGCACAGAATTGTAAATATGTTGCCAACCGATGCTCCCCAAAAACCCCCCAACAAATTACTCAAAGACCGGACTTCATCGGCCACTCTGCTTACTTCAACCTCACAATCTGCTACCTCACCACAATGTACCGGGCGTACCAGGCCGGCAACTACCCGGTCCTCGCTTTCGTGGTGTTTTCTACATGCCCTACTGGGGTTTGGACAAGTGTCAGCAAGTGTACAGCTGGCTGCCACATGGCGATAAGTCGGTGAAGAATAACACTACTTGAAGGAATTGGATTCTCTCCGAGGCAATATCTCGGGATCTTACTGACCGAACAACATGAACCGTTGATCCAACGGCTACAAATAGAGAGTTCCTCCAAAGTTATAATAATTGTAACCGTTGGATTTAAATTCAACAACCCATATTGTCCGGTCAGTAGGATCCTGAGGCATTGCCTCGGAGAGGATCCAATTCCCTACTTGAAACATGTAGAAAGGTTTGCATTTATATGCTCCAAACAGACAAGTGAACAAGTACACTTTTATTCACCGGAGGATGACACTAATTAAAACACAGAAAATTTTGCACTAACTTTCCCCAACATACAAGTGAACAACAAGAAGTACCTGAGAATTGGGGTCATCGGGCAGCAAGGGTTAAGCGCGGTGTCTCCGTTCTGATATTTGGGGTCTGAAAAATCAAACATTGGAATCAGACACCATTCACATTCTCATTAGTGACAGATGCATCCGGAGCAAAAAGTAGAAAACCCAAAGCAGATAACAAGCATATGAAATACCTCATCAGCCGTGTACTCGGTTTCCGTCCTGCCCTCCATCTCAACTGTTGCTCCGTTCCAAGTAAAAACCTTCAACAACCAAAACCCACAACACAAATGCGATTCAAAATCTTTAACAATCAAAACCCACAACGCAAATTCTATTAAAAATATGTAAACTTGGGAAAAGAGCTAGGGGAAGAAGGCGGCTTGCAGCAAATTTGAGCCTGGGCGCGAAGGTGAGCCAGAAATCAGGGGGGAGCTCGGTGCCGAAGATCTCAGCGGTGCCGCTGAGCAGGCGGAACTTGAGAGGAGCGTCGTAGCCGACTTCGATCCTGAGCTCGCTCTCTCGGTCCAGTTTCACCTGCCTGTCGGCCGCCGTGCGCCATCTTCTTCTGCTAGCTTGGCTCTCGGTGCCCTGTTGGGGTTTTATGCAGGACAGAGTGCAAAATTGGCGCTTTGTATTCAATTGGGATTCGAGGGGTTTTAAAGAGTGTTCGTTTGGGGTTTCAATGAGTAGAAGAGTGCAATAAGACACCGGAGGAATTCCGTTGGAATTTTAAGAGCGAACTGGGAAGACATCGTGTCCGAATTTTTTCTATTAGAGTCGTCAAATCCAGTCTTGAATTTTTGAAATTTGATTCAATTGATAAAATTATGAACTTTTAAAGGGCTCCTGTTTTTAGCTGTGGATCAAATTTTAAGGGTTCAGATTACTTGATTTGATAGCTTTGGTGAAAAAGATTAGAAGATGATCTCTTCCCAACTCTATTTAATAGCGAGTACTGTGATCCACCGACTACCTTATTCAATTTTTTTTTTGTTGAACTACTTTATTTATTATTCTTTTTTATAAAAAAATATTAGAGGACGAGCTGGTGGTTTCATCACGTCTATCCATTTTATCAAAGATCGAAAACACTCATAGAGGCAGTTTCAACCTTTCTTTAGTATCATTGTGTGATTCACCAGTGTCAGGAATCAAACCCAGAATGTGACGTGTGGAATACAGGCCTGAAGTTTGTTCCTGACTACGGGTCATCTCGTGGTGGTTACTTGTTTATTATTATTATTGAAATTTCGTACTATATAGTGGATGGATACAAATCTTATAATTTAAACTCGTTAGGATGTGTTTTTGCTCACAACTTTTAAGTGGTGGTAATGTTCACACCTTATTTATCGCTGTTAAATGAGTTTAAATTTTGAAACTTGTGTCTATCCTACATAAATCTCGAAATTTAAACACATCTAGATTAAATATGGTTGTGAGCATCACCATAACTTGATGATGATGAGTTGTTGGCCTGGCTCTACAAAAACTTGACATGGTATCAGAACGTGCATTTTATGATAAACTCTCGCACCAACTATCATATTGTTGTGCATATAATAATATCGATGTGATTAGTAGTTGAACTTCATGAAAACCTTTGGCCCATCTTGTAATTCTAGGCAACTTCGCAGATGGATTCACGAGACAATCCATGGGACCTTGACTTTCTAGGCTCCTTCTTGTTCTCTTTCGAAGAAAGTAGAAGGGCAATTCCCACTTCACCTTTCAACTCCTCGACGCTTCGTGACAACTTCAGGGTAAATTCTACGCACCTTCCATACGTGGGTTCGCTTAAATAACCACAAGCCCCCCAACTCGAACCTCACTCGATCGAAAACTCGAACCCAAAAACATACAGAGAACTGCAAATATGTTGCCAACCGATGCTCCCCAAAAACGCCCACAAATTACTCAAAGACCGGACTTCATCGGCCACTTTGCTTACTTCAACCTCACAATCTGCTACCTCACCACTATGTACCGGGCGTACCAGGCCGGCGACTACCCGGTCCTCGCTTTCGTCATTTTTGTCTACGTGGCCTACTGGGGTTTGGACAAGTGTCAGCAGGTGTACAGTCGGCTGCCGCGTGGCGAGAAGTCGTTGAAGAAGGAGGTGTTGAGATTCACCTATTGTGTGTTGACAAGTGGCATTTTGTTTGGGTTTGCTTATCAGTTTGGGACGTTTATGCCCTTGCCTGTGGTGGTGATGATGTATTTTGTTGCCGTTGCTACCAGTTTGCTGCTCTTCTATGTCTACTACTTCAAAGATGACCAAAACGGGCGTTACGAAAAGATTAGCGACAACTCGGAAAATGTTTAATTCTTTTATTAATAGCAAAATATATGAGTAATAATGCGTAATTTGCTAGTACGAAATTATGAAGTTTCTGTAATTTTGGACTCGTTATGTTGTTCGACTGAATTTGTTTACTTTGAGTCGTCGTATTATTGAGTGCTTGTACTTCTGCCATTCGAATTCAATTAAAATGATTAAATCCTTATGCTATAACCATTTGAGCTACATCTATCATGGTTTTTCCTTTCTTTTAAACAAATAAAACTTCAATTAACTAATGGAGACAATTGCAAAACAAATTTTATTATATGTAGTGGTTAATCATAGTGGACATGGTTCGACTTGGATTGGTTTTGCAGTTTTACTTCCCAGATTGAAACTAACTCAGTATTAGCGATGCGGATAATTTGATCCCTGATAACTAAAACAAAAGAAGAAATAACCAAATTAAACCACTATTATGTAGATTAATTCCATACGATTTGACCGTTTATGTCTAAACAAATAATTAACCTTTAAGTGATCAGATGGTTATTACGAGTTTCTACATATTTGTTGACTTAGATGTCAAATTTCTCCGATGTCACCCAAAAAGAAAATAGACCCAAATACAAATGGGGTCAATGAAAATTTTGAGGAAATAAGAAAGAAAAATGGAGAAGTGGGGTATCGATCCCCATACCTCTCGCATGCTAAGCGAGCGCTCTACCATCTGAGCTACATCCCCATGTCAGATATGCACCGTCTGATTTTTATATATTCTATTGTGGTGACTGCCGGGTCTCTCAAGTTCTTCGGTTCACTGGTTAGTTGCACGCCTTTCCCTGCAGAGAGCGACCGGCGGTGTTCCAAAATGTTGAGACGATTCCTGCTACGAGCTTCCGCGGCTCGCCGCCGTCTTCCCAACGCCCACTTTCCTCCACCATGCTCAGCTCCTTTAGTTCCCAACCGTTCTGTTTCGTCAACATCTTATTATTCTTCTTCTTCTTCCCAAATCCCAGACAGTCCTTTCGTCGAACAGTTGGAGGACAACCTCGACCAAACTGCCACTCAACCCACCACCTCCATCGCCGTCGACCGCTCCGGCCTATACAACCCACCCGGTAACCGCCACCAATACGTAATTTGCATTCACTAATGGTTTTTCTCATTAGTTTCTTAACTTTTTCTAATTAATTGTTGCGGCAGAGCATTCCCATGAACCCACTTCGGACTCTGAGCTCGTCAAGCACCTCAAGGGAATCATCAAAGTTTGTGTTTTCTTTTATTTTCTCCATTATTTTGATATGGGTTACTGTAAATGTTGCAATTTGAGTGACAACGTGGTTGTGAATGTGGGTTTTTTTTATCAGTTCCGCGGCGGCCCAATCTCCGTTGCTGAGTATATGGAGGAAGTTCTGACAAATCCGAAAGCCGGATTCTACATGAATCGAGATGTGTTTGGAGCTGGAGGTGATTTTATAACCTCCCCTGAAGTGAGCCAGATGTTTGGGGAGGTAAATTCATTGTTGTTGGATTGTTAATTACTCGATAATTTTTCATCGAATTCAATTGGGATTTTCTTTAGGAATTGGATTGTTGAATAGAAAATGAGTTGTTGTTTGCTCTGCTTGTTTGAATTTAGATGGTTGGTGTTTGGGCAGTGTCTCTGTGGGAGCAAATGGGACAGCCTGATAAAGTGAACCTAGTAGAGCTAGGTCCGGGAAGAGGAACTCTCATGGCCGACCTTCTTCGTGCATGTACCGGCTCTGCTCATTTGAACTTCTTTATTGTTAATGCTGTACAAATGGAAAAACAGTAACGAAATTTAGTTTCTTTGTTGCCTAGGGTGCATCAAAATTTAAGAACTTCACCGAATAACTGCATGTACACATGGTAGAATGCAGTCCTGCGTTGCAGAAACTTCAGTACCAGAAGCTGGAATGTGCAGACGAAGAGGTTTCGGATGGCAAAAGGATTGTAAGCGCGTTGGCTAAAACTCCTGTATCTTGGCATGCCACATTGGAAGACGTTCCTACAGGATGTATGTAGTTATGTTCTTATCGTATTCCAAGGAAGACAAACTTATTTGTACGTAAGTGCACTGGAATGGAATGAAAAGACCTCTAGGTTGCATGTACTAGCAGTTGAATGAAATGACCTCTAGTTTTTCTTTCTGCAACTTCTTGTTTGCAGATAGTTTAGTTTTGTATTCGCAAGTGATGCTTTTTTATTTTACTTCGGATAAGACGATATCAGGAGAAGGAAATAGCATGCTTACTACATTCTCATAGGATTGGTGGATGCATTATGTAACACTTAACTGGACATCAATTTACATGCATCTTGCTGGATATAGTTTTGCCGAAGATAATTAGTACGTTCTTTAGTTTATAAAAACCAGTCCCTTGTTATGATTAAGCCATTATAGCTCTTCCAGTTGTCGTGCAATATAATTAGTATTGTATCTTAACACTTGGAAGCGTGAATGTGAATGCTTGTTTTCTTCCCCATGAAACTGACTGTAGCTTTCTTGATTATCGTTTCAGTGCCATCTATCATCATAGCCCACGAGTTTTATGATGCTTTACCAGTTCATCAATTTCAGGTTTGTGTGGTCCATTTGTGATCTATATCACCAAATCCAAATGCTCGCTCTATGGACATTGTTTCATTCTCTTAAGGATTTCTTAATCTTTTTTGTTTTCTGCAGAAAGCTGCTCGTGGCCGGTCTGAGAAAATGGTTGATGTTGCTGAAGATTCAACGTAAGGATGTAAAATAGAATTACTCTCTTTTGCAGATGCTTTAACAAAGGAGTTGTGTTATTTGATGCTCATAAATATTGTTTAGGTTTCGTTTTGTTCTGTCTTCACAGCCTACACCAGCGACTCTTTATCTTGCAAAACGCTGCAAATGGGCTGGAAATGAAGAAATAGCAAAGCTTCAACATATCGAGGTTTGCCCCAAAGCAATGGAGTCGACTCAAACTATTGCTGAAAGAATTGCTTCCGACGGAGGTGGAGCTCTTATAATTGACTATGGCCTCAATGGAGTAGTATCAGATAGTCTGCAGGTCTGTTGCTTTTACTTTTGCAGTACTTCAATTTGTTGCAGGCCATTCGGAAACATAAATTTGTCAACATTCTGGATGATCCTGCGTCTGCTGATCTTAGTGCATATGTTGATTTTGCTTCCATCAGGCACTCCGCTGAGGAAATTTCAGGTACGCCGTCTCATTAGTCTTTCTTTAAGTATTATATTTCCATGAATTGGGTTCAAGAACAGGTTGAGGATGCTTAGTATCTCTGCAGGAGAGATTTCTGTCCATGGCCCGATTACTCAGTCTCGGTTCCTTGGTTCTCTTGGGATAAATTTCCGAGCGGAAGCATTAACACAAAACTGTACAGAAGAACAATTCGAGTCTCTAAGGAACGGATACTGGCAACTGGTTGGCGAAGGTGAGGCCCCCTTCTGGGAGGGGCTGATGAAAAAGCGCCCATCGGAATGGGCACTCGGTATTTGGCAATGGCCATTGTGAACAAGAAACAAGGAGTTCCTGTTCCATTTTAGTGAAACCCGAAAAAATAGTAGCATTTGGATGAGATTTATTGCATGTACACTAGTTGGGGTTCTGTCATATTTTTGCAAATTAAATTGCTTTGATGTTCTAAATAATAAATAGATTGAACGAGAAAATATGCCCGCGCATTGCTGCGAGAACCTGTTGTTTCAGGTGTAATCAGATGAATAAAACACATTTAAGTTGAATAAATCCAACACAATTATCAACAAATAGTTTTTTTTTTTTTATGTACATTCAAGTGAGCTGGTATATAAACACATTTTACAATGAGTGGGAAGAAACCGAACGTCTTTGATTGGAAAGAGATGGTTTCCAAAAAAGTTATGTTTCCTTAAGAAACAGAAGAAACATTAGTTCACACAAAATTTCAGTTACCAAATTCGAAAAAAAACAAAAATGTGACTCTATATGGCTTTCTTACTACTCAAAAATATCCCTTAGTTAAAGAATGCCACACATCATCACGTTGCTATTATATGAAGTATATTCCTCAGTGGCAAGTAACATACTCTCCTTAGCATGACCTCTCAATCCCCTATATCTCTCTAGAATCGTACAATAACCCATAAATATAGTGCCCCTTTAAAATCCAAGCATACATTAAAAATTCAACAATACAGTTCCAAAATCTCTATAAATGAACATACCTCAAAAAGCCAACGGCCCAAGTGACACACTGCATACACATACGCTCACACACACTGAAGAATGAACGCATTATATTCAGTTAGCACCATTCAACTTTAAAAGCAGTGAGACCTTCCAAAGGCACAGCCTAACTGGCCTCGGTTCATATAACCAAATTGAGAACAGTTGAATTTTAGAAAAGCTGTAACCACAACTGAAAAACAAAATCAAAATGAACAGAATAAAATATCAGCAGAGCTTGAACACTAACATCCTTTGAAAACATGTGTTGGTTACATATAATATATATGCGCATACATTAAGAAAATGACTTGAGTGCCCTAGCAGTAGTCTGTACGTTGAACCAAATCACTATTAGGTTAATTGTATTGATTCACGCATCTTTTATGTGCTAAATCTCTACTAAATTGCCCTACGAAAATGACATAAAACTAATTAAATTCCCAATATATCTGAGATATACAACTTTTAAAAGTGTGACAATATATGCAGCACCAGGATGTTGCAGAACTCACTGCCCCAATTTAAGATTCAGGGTTTTATCCAATGTATCTATAAGCTTTAGATACATCTGAGAATTTGCTTTTCACAGTTGTTACTCTCATCATCTTTTGAGAGAGATAGATACAAAGGTTAAGATTACAAGGGGGAAGAGTTAAGAATCCCTCTAAAATACTAAAGAAAAGCATACCTACAACGGAGTAAACAACTGTTTATCTCCATAGCAGTTTTTCAGAGCATTTATGCTGTCAGAAAGATAGTGCTCCACTCCAGAAGGATGGACAAATTTACCAGATGGAAACTGACCCAAAGAAAACATAATTAAAAGTTAGCATCTGACGAACAATTGAGGTGACGCAAAAGGGCAACACATGATGTGAAATTATTATACCAAAATATCCTAGGTCTGTTAATCTAGTCACCCAGTAAAACAGAACAAAAATTAAGCACAACAATATCAAAATTAAAAGGAAGGAATAATATGAAACCTTGTGCATAGATCGTTTGTGAGAATGAATCACACAACAATCAAGGATGGACAAATCACAAAAGTGACAATTAAAGGGCACCTAACGGACACTCCCATCTCTCTCTGTGCAATCGCAGAAATCCCTCAGGTTTCAGGAAGCAAATGGAAAACGAAATGCCTCTTTACCTTCACAGAAAATCCTCTCATCTCTCTCTCACCCTTGTCTCATCTCTCTGTCTGCAAATTGCAGAAAAGAAACCCTAAACAAATCCCTGAAATTCCTCGCCTAAATCCTCTCACATTTCTTTCTGACACCCCCTATCTCTTTCTCTCTTTGCAAAACCTAAACCAGATCTCCTAAATCCTATCTCAGACACCCGACATACAGCCAATAAGCCAAGATATTAAAGCAATCTCTACATAATACTTTGGAACAAATTAAGCAGAGAAATCAGTTTATAATCCCTAAATACTGGAAAGAATGAATCTTTGAAAGGGAAGCTTACAGGTGGCATACAGAGATTTTTATTATAAGAAAAATGTCACCCTAATCCCATATTAAGCAGAGAAATCACTTCATAATCCCTAAATGCTGGAAAGAAGGAATTTTTGAAAGGGAAGCTCACCACTGCAATCATAAGGCGTGACCAGAGACGGCTTCGGAGGCTGCAAAAAAAGGCTCAAAGAACGAAAAATCAGGGTCTCCTGAAACTGAAAACAGAACTAAATTAAACCACCACACGTAGAATCGCAGGCTACAAACTGGCATGGTTATGGTTCATCTGCTGCCACAATGACTTGGTTCATTTCTGCCACAATCGCAGAACCAGTTTCTAGTGGTAGAATTATAGTAACAGTATATAGAAACAAAGAAATTATCTTTGCATCTTGCATATCAACAATCATAAAATGCATCAACCAATAAACTAAAAAATAAAAAGCAAAAAGAAAAAAAACGTATGCTTTCATTTCAACAGAAAAAGTCTGCATAAAGATAAATTGGAATGATAAACATACAAAATTTCACTTTTCACTTCACAGAATTTGTTTGAAATCACTAATTACCATTAGAACAACTTCATAATGAAAAAAGATTACACTAAAATTTTAGAAATTGTTGCTTACCTATCTTCAGAAGCATCTTTATGATTTCTAAACATTTTTCAAAAAGTGGAAAGATGAATACAAACCTCCTCGGATGGACATGCTAATAGGATCATCCAGTTGACCATCAAATACTTCCAAAGATAATGACAGAAGTGGTGTCTCCATTACATGCTTCTCCGAGAGCCCCCTGTGAGAAAAAAGAAAAGTAAAAATCAAAACTTGCCTCTGCTAAATAGGAAAACCCCTACAAACCACACAATCAGAAAAATTAAATACCTTTTTTTTGTCTAAAATTAGGAGAGGAAAATAGAATGAGAGTGGAAAATCCTAAAAAATAAGAAAGAAAAAAAGCCAAAATTATAGATCTAGAGAAAAAAAAAATTACCCAAAGTTCCACTCAACACAAACATAAGGGCCAATGTGAAGGTGAGCATAGAGCCGTGCCTTCTGCATGGTCTTGAGAAACCTCACCAGATTATACCTCCCTTTAAAATTGTACTAAAACCCAGCATAAACCCAGAAGGTGAATTTAACTACAAAACCAAATATACAAAAGTATTCGTTTCAGATCTAAATTCATACCCCTTTATACTGGCTCCAAGGTGGTTTTTGTCGTAGCCATGTCCAAGACAATGCACCCAAGACTCCATACATCTACAGCAAGGTTTGCACCAACTGAGTTCTGTATAACCTGGGCAAGGAACCAAAATGAAGACTTAAGTAAAAGTAAAACCATCAAGAAGCATGCCACGAAGGAGAAAAATACAGTAAAAAAAAAAAAAACAAAGAAAAACTCACCCTCACAAACTTATACTGTGAAGCTCCATTTGATTGCTCTAATCTTCATTAAGAAGATTGGTACATGTGATATCCCGTCCCGAAACTATCGAAACGTACATGTGAAATGACCCTTTTACCCCTAGTTTGTTACGTTATGTTTTTGGTTACTTGGTGTGGTGTTGGCAGGTGCTGGGCCACCCACACACACCCTCACTGTCTCTATCCCTTTCTCTGTCTCTGTCCCTGTCTCTCTCTCTCTCTCCCGAGCTCCCTTCCTTCTTCTTCTTCTTCCTTCGAACTCGTACGGACACACACACAACTACGCTAAATCGCCACAGATCAAAGACACTAAGGGCATAGTCAAGATCGTGAGGTCGAGGGGAGCACGATCATACCATTTTCAGGTATGAAATCCATTGTTTTCACGTCAATTCGACAATGGAAATTTGTGTACTGTTCATGCAAACATTGACCTAGCTTGTTTTTGGGATTTTGAAGTCAGTTGACGCCGTCAGCGTGCCAGGCACGTGCCTTGGCCGGCGCGTGGGGGCGGGTGCGGCGGTGGAAAATTTTTCTAAAATTATGGTTGTGATCCTGAGGTTGTATAGAGCACGTTGGTATATTCAATTGTCCATTTTGAGCAATGTATGAGAAGTTATTTTGAACGGAAGGTTATGTGCTTTAAAATTAACGTTTTTATAGTATTTTCGCATATAGGTGACACGTATCCCGAGGACGAGCGTGCTCACGCGAGGCAAGGGGGCTACGACCCTTCGACGTACCAGTGAGTGGGCTTTTGTTTTCCGTATATACCTATATACATATAATTCCCAGGAATTTATATAAATGCTTATTCGTTACATGCCATTCCTTTTATATTATTGGTGGTTATGCATGATTAGTTGCATATACGTTTAGTTATACATTCAATTATATGTACACATATGTTTATGATGGTGCTGTGGAGGCACAGGTAAGTGCCAGGTAAGCGTTATTTAACAATTGCATTAAATAGTGGTTAGAGATGATTAGAGAGCTCATAACCTGCACCCCCGGTGTTAGTGCTCCCGCCCAGAGTAGGGCACAGTCCTTCACGTGTCGTTCACCTCCCGCACTACACGCTCAGCTTGGATCCAAGTTAGGTGCACAGTCTTGTCGTACAGACCACTATAGGTGGTTCCGACTCGTAGGTGACCCGCGATTATTCGCACAGCCTTCACGTGATCGTAGCACTAGAGCGTTATATGTATTGCACCCAGGCCTGTCGTACAGACCACTATAGGTGGTTCCGACTCGTGGGCAGGTTTAGTGTTGAGTTTGAGATTTGAGCTCTAGATTCAGCCGTACAGGTCACTTAGGAGACTCCGGCTGCCAATGATGGGTTATTGATATGGTTTATATCTGAGCACTTGCATTTCAGTATGAGATTTGGTATGGCATATCCTTGAGCGTGATTGGCATATTTATAGTATACTTACATATGTTTATTTTCTGGGAAGTATACAGGTTTTACGGCGAGAGTTTAGAATATTGTTTTTGAAATGGTTTTTGAAAACCTTTATTTTTGCCCACTCACGCTTTTGTTTTGCGCCCCTCCAGGTTTTAGCTAGCTAGCAAGGTTGGTGGTTTTCCCAGAGGGCTTTTCCGGCGTTTCTGACAAACGATCATCAGCGTAGGTTCACCTTTGGGTGCACTGTTGTAACGCTATTTTATTTGGACTGCTTAGGCGTTATGCTCTGAACTTGTATCGTTTCACACTAGCACTTATTACTTTGACTTTGTATGCTAGTTTTTAATTATTCGTACTTTTATATTACTGTCTTACTAGCTTCCGCACTGTGCACATGGCTACGTCACTTCCACGTGACGGCCAGCACGCTCTGATCTCGGTCGAGGTGTGTCAGTACCTGTCCAGATACATTACAAACTTCATTTAATTAAAGAAGACAGAAGCCAAAAATGTAGAAATCCAACACAATTAACGTAAAGAGAAGCATATGAAATCATTAAAATAACATACTAATACTGCAATGTAATCAAACAATGATTATTCGACATTAAAACTAAGCCAAAAACAAAAACCCTTGTGCATAAAGCACACATGTTGTCTTAACTGTACTAACACTATAACAACCTAAACGATAATTAACTGACAATTTAGTTCCATCAATATGATAGACATACCAAATTGTCAACAGACTAACAAAAGTAAACATAAACCCTCCCTAGAAATAGCCCAATGGTAGGATTATGCAGTCCAACTATGCTGAACTAAATAAGAAAAAATTCAAGTGACCAAAGCTAATCTAGAGCTTTCTCCTTTCCCAAACACAGCAAGAATCAGAACGTGCGTCGTCAATTTCAAGAAATTCACAGAAAGAGAGAAAGAAAGGGATAGAGTAGCACAAACCTCAGATCGAATGGCCTCGATCGTCTGGATTCCCTCATTATCAGTAGCAGAAATCAACAAAAGCATATATACAATGACATTTTATTAGCCACTGGTTGGACCACATTTATTACCTACCATAAATGGAGAAACAATTTGGTATAAGAATCTGATAAGAATCTCATTCCACAAAACTTCTTCAATCCGAGCCTAAACAACTGCAAGCTAAAAAATCTCCAAGATACATACTTTCATCCAGATCATCCACCGCCAATAACAAAACCACACCCTATATCTTCATTTAGCTAATAAGATTAAAAAGTGAACTTATCACCCAAATAAAATAGGTAGATTAACGAATATGAGTTAAAAAGTGGAGGAAAGCAACAAAATCAATCAAACAACGAATTGTCAATAGAATAAAACAACAAATATAGATATCTGAATCAAAGTTTTTATTTTTTTTTATTTTTTATTTTTGTCAAATGAAGACTTAAATGTTACTCAACATTGTTTCTAATTGCAGCTTCCTTTCTACCTGTAAAAGCATGGTTGTCTTAGCTAAACATACATTTTTATCATGCAAAATCAAGATGGAGACGTTATCTTCTGACAACAGAAATGGAAGTTCAAAATATTATTGAATCATCAAATGTTGAAATTACCAATCAAATACAGATAAACCACCACCAGCAACCAAAACAGTTTTTTTTTTTTTTAATGAAATTATACACCTCTCACCCAAGCAGCAACCAGTTCTTTTGCGCTGAGCGTCTGTAAAACACATGAGTACGGATAAATTATAGAGAGCAACAATCACTAAATTTCTAACATCACCGGCATTCACAACATTAAGCATGTAGGGAAACTATTTCATTTCATTTTAATTTTAGGTGACACAACTGATGCAAGAAAGGGTCGAGCAAGTAGCATGGCATCAAGAATAAAGGAAGATATTTAGGATAGAACAATTAAAAGTTTCTACAAATCATTAAATTTATGCTTACATAAAATATACATGCATACTTAATTTTTCAGACAATTATACTTCACAACATAAATTGCAAGTTGGGCCTATTTGGTTAACTCAAAAGAAATTGATGGGTTAGAAAAAGCACCAAAAAAAAAAAAAAAAAAATATATATATATATATATATATAAAGACGAATGTTCTTATGTTGTTCTCCTCTTACATCGACAAAACACACACCTGTGGTTTAATGCTCCAATATTCAATGAGAAGGCACCAGGCAAGAAGAAGCTCAAGGCTGGAGAGAAGCTTCCAAAGAGAACAATCTATAAAGCAGACCACAAAAATTAGACAAAACCCAAAAACTAAACAGTAAAAAAAAACCCCTAAAATGAAAAGAAAAAAAAAACTGAATTTGCAGAAATGTCATAGCTTGTACCCTATCTTATCCAAGTTGTCGTACATCCTCGAGCCCTTGCGTTCATATATGCTTCCTCAATTTTAGTGTAAACCCCCAAAATAAACTGCAAATATTATAGAAATGGTAAAATGAACTGCAAACCCGTCAATCATTTCCCAAAATAAACTGCAAATCACAAAATTACCTACTCCAAATCGGCTGGAGAACTCACCAGGAAACCAAGGCTTTTATGGGCTTAAAACTTCCTTCGAAGTGGGACTAAATTCAAGGTTTTTCAACAAGAGATCGTTGTGCTTCGTAGTTTCTGAGAGAGAAGGCGAGGAGAGAAAATGGAGATGGAAGCAGAGTCGAGGCTATGTCGTAGCTGAATCATTGGCTTCCACGATCATCAAGCATGACCGCACACGCACAACACCCTACCTAGAGAAGGGAGACGGCGGCGACTGGAGGATAGGATGGAGGCGAGACCGTGGTTCTCGCTGGGTCTGCGAGGAAGGGGCAAAACCCGGAGTCTCTTGCTTGAACCTCATTCTCCTATCTTAAATAAGGCCTGAACGGTAGCATAAAAGCCTTGGAACGGCTACCGCGCCTGATTCGACTCACCATTATTAGGCCTTCTTTGTCTTCGCAGAAGAAGGCAATGAGGGTTTGAGAAGGAAATGGAAAAGGCCAGCTTGACCATCGTTCTTCCCTTCCCACGATCATCAACACGTGTGCATCAAGATTAGCGGCAGAGAGAGCCTGGCAGAGCACGTTCCCAAATATCTCTCTCACTCAGTCCAAACCCGTAGCTCCCATCTCTCTCCATTATGTTAGGCTCTGTGTCTCCCTCCTCTGTAGTCGTTCTGTCCCCCTCTCTCCGCTCGCCAGAGGCACACCCAGCTGTCTCCGAGTCAAAAATGGGAGCGATTGTCTCTCTCCAATTTGTCAGGCGTGATTTCCCCCTCCCCTCTCCGTCGTCGAGTCAAACGTCAAATGCAGCCAACGGCTGAAAATAGGTGAAAGGTGGTTAAAAGCATCCGAGTGGCAATCTTGTAAATAAACTGAAATGTGGTTCAAAACACTGTTCGTTTGTACAGTGCAATTGAACAGCCTTCTTTAGACTAAAGTAATGATTTTGTTGCATCTTGTTGAATATGTGAGGATTTATCTCCACGCGCTTTTTATTTTCTTGACATGAATGTGAAGCCTTTTCTTTTTTGGAAGCTACGCATGCTACGTAGAAAAAAAAAAAAAAAACAGGAAATTGCCTTCGGCATTTGTGTTGGAGATATTTCTCAATGTGTCGGAAACACATGTCAATACCGTAAATGTAATAATAATACAATTAGTTGAAAATTTAAAAAGATGTTAACCCATTGCATTATGTTCCGACCTATCGAATCATGTTCTAACCTACCGAATCATGTTCCGGCATACCGAAAACTTTGTGCGTTGATTTGCTCGCTTCAAACGCACGCAAGACGCAACCCAGACTAAAATCCCAAGTTCTCTAAGGTCCCCGAAACTGTTCTTCGTTTTGTCTTATGCAATTGGTCCCTTGATGATATTTAGATGGTAACGTGACATAATTTGACATCGAGTAATCGTTGGAAGATAGAGAGAGAGAGAGAGAGAGCGAGAGAGAGAGAGAGAGAGAGAGAGAGAGAATGGGGTCGTATCTGTCACGCTATATTGACAACTCGGCAGGGGAGGAGTCCGGAGTGACGTCGTTTCACTCGTCGGAGAGATGGCAGCTTCACTTGAACGCCCATAAGGAATCCTCCCAGCTGGTACTTGCCGAAGCATGTTTTTAATTTTTTTTTTTTTAATTTTGATTGTTTGAGCGTTGAAATTAGTGAGAGATTAGGGATCTGAATTTACTGTTTTATTGCCATAATGATTTGCATAAATTGGGGAACGTGAAGCTGGTGGTCGATTTCTCGGCGTCGTGGTGCGGCCCCTGCCGGTTCATAGAGCCCGCCATCCGAGCCATGGCCGCCAAGTTCACCGACGTCCAGTTCGCCAAGATCGACGTCAACGAGCTATCTGTAAGTCCTTCCAAACTTGTGCTAATAATTGAAAGTGCTTTTATTTAAAAGTGCTTTTGTGAAAGTGCTTTTATGTTAAAAGTGATGAGCTAGAACCACATTTATTTTTCGAAGTGCTTTTATGTTAAAAAGTGATTTCTTTCATCAAGCTGAAGCACCTTCAAGTGCTATTCCAAGAATTACGACTTGGATTTTTATACAAGTGCTTCCAGTAAAAGCCCTTATGCGTACAAGTGCTTTATAGAGAAGCATTTCCAATCGGATCAAGATTTCTGCCAAACTGGTGTAGTGAAACTAAGATTTTAAAGGATTTTAAAAGTGATAGATTTAATAGGATCTAGGAGAATTTAAGACTTCTACAAAATTATTCATACAGAATTTGAATGAATTTAGTTTGTAGATTTTGGTGGATTATGGTGGATTGTCATATAATTTTTTATTGAAAAAAAAAAGAAAAAATCTTTTCTCCTGCCCTAATGTACTCGATAGCCACTTTGTCTCCTTCCTTTTCGGATCCCCTTTCACATAACTACGGCTCCATCTCTTTCTCAATTGGTAGATCAACATAACTTTGGTGAGCTTTTGAGCATTATACCACCAACAAGTATCACCACCGACTGCCCTTTTGCCACAAACGTACATTGTGGTACTTCAGTAGTGCTTGTAGTACCACATACATTAAAAAATCAGAATGGCGAGATAGTAGTATTAACTAAAATCCTAGATCGATTATGTCCTTCGATAATCATACATGACTAATTAAGGTCCAAGGGTCATAATAAGAGATTCCACCAAAGTATATGGTGGTTACCTGTGTGTGGCTTGGGTAGGTAGAGATTTGAGGACTGCCCATATGGAAAAGGATTTGAAATCCTAGGAGGTGAGGTTGGATTCTTTTTAGTCTTGGTTATATATACTTCTTGCTCTCAAATCTTACAAAATCCACAACTTATTGAAATCTTCCAAAATCTTAATTTTTTTTAATACACTTAGATATAGATGGATTTTAAAATCCTTAAAATCTTTTAATTGACTACACTTAGATTTGAATGGATTCTAAAATCTTTTAATTGACTACACTAGGATTTTAAAGTCTTTTAAAATACTCTCAAATCCGAGTTAGACAAAAACGCTTTTAATTGTTAGAAAACGCTTTTAGCCTTTGGACCATATTGCGTTTTGTTTCTGAACTAGGGGGTTTTTTTTGGTATGTAGGAAGTGGCGCAGGCATTCGGTGTGGAGGCAATGCCAACGTTCGTCCTGTTGAAGAAAGGGAAGGAAGTGGATCGGGTGATCGGAGCGCAAAAGGATGAGCTCGAGAAAAAGGTCGAGAAATACCGCTCTGTCTAAGATCAGAGTTTGTGTTAATTGGAAAGACCTGATATGCTATAGAAGCTTTCTTGCTAGTGTGTGCTAATGCATATATTGTACACTATAAAGGGGAACCATATTCATGTCTCCCCGAGACCCCGAGACATGGACACTCGGAGACTCGGACAGTGTATGCTTGCTGGATTGTGTCAATGTGTAGGTTCTTCAGCCTCACCACTGATTCCACAGCCCTTTCAGGGTGTGCAACTCCCTCAGCCGGCATAAACATTCATAAGTATGTAATTTCGTATAATCTCGTGATGTAGAAATATCATCAAGGTTTAAATACAATGTGTGTTGTACCTGGCAATCTCAACTCGCAGTTTCGCCTCTTTAGCCATCTGATTGAGTTCTCTAGGAGTGGTGAGATCCCCCGAATATCGTGGTGTTAGGTGGTCGGCCAATTTTGAAACGTTTTAAGTCCTTAATTTACTAAAAGAATAGTTGAAGGGGTCAATTTCAACTGACGTTATAGTTCAGGTGGCCAAACGTTAGAATCAAAACAAGAAAGTAAAACCAGAGAGGGGGAGAGAGAAATGCAGGCTCTTTATTTTGATTTTCGACTCCCATCTCAACAACATTTATCTGTGGTTTTCAGCTGTTAGTAATTCAAATCTACTCCAGAAGTTGTCAAAATTTGACCTTGGTTGCTCCACCAACCAAAGTTCCATGTGCATCAAGATGAGCACAAGAACAACAAAGGATGTAAAAAGCAAAGGACGGGGCAGGGCGGTATGGGTACTTTGCTACTTTCCATTAGAATTAGCATGCTTATGGAAAGGCCAGAGATTTACCAGGCGCTCGAGCACTGCTGCGCTTTTTGAGAAATAGCCTGTGAATCCTGCTGGAGTCGATGCTGGAGGAAAATCTTCTGCTGGCATAGCAAACGAGCGTATCATTTTCTCCATTTTATCTAATGTTAGATACGATCCCACTTCTTGCAACCTTTCCGGACCCATAACCGGTAGTGTGTGCTCTTGACGCAAAAACGTAGCCTTACTGTCATTCTTCTGCCAAGCACAAGATAAAACACAGCTTAATTTGTTGAACAAGCAAACACAGAATCAGTTCAGTCCCCCTCGCACGTTAATTCATTTTTCTGTTTACTCATTTTTAGAAATGTGTTTTGATTCATTCGGTAAAACAGTTTTCCTATCATTTCAATTGTATTACCTCCAATGGCGATAGGTCTGCACCACGGCTAAAGGTCAGTTCCACGCGGAATTTTTTTGTGTCTTCAAGAGCTACCTGCAATTTCAGTTTCGAAAATACATTGGTCTCAGGATAATTTCTACATGCGATAATACTAATCAAGGTATCATGATAGGGAGTCGTGATTATACTAGTAAACGCATATGGGGTCTTATACTACTTATGACTACGCTTGGAAACCATTTACTTACTGCTGTGTTCTCGAACATCCTCAGAACTATATAACTCATGTAGTCAAGCTCCTTAGTATTGTATAAACGCTCCAATGCACTATGGCAAACTAGGCCATCCTCTCCTTGAAGAGACTCGTCCAGGTTACAGTAACGGAGAACATTCATGAGAGAGTGGATGTGAGATTCCTGTCATTCCAAAATTTTCATTAATTTACATGATCTATGTTCAAAGATAAAGAAAATGTACATAAAAGTATATACTTACTGATGTAAAGTACAGGCGCGTCCGCACATGCCGTTCAGGCGTTCTGACATTTGCATACCTATCAAGGTAATGAAAAGTTTGTTAATATCAATTAGGAATAATCCATAACTGAAACGATGAGCGAAGAAGTGAGGTTCTCTTATGTTACTTTGGATCCAAACGATATTGGGTCTCTTTATCATCGTCGTCATCCTGATCTATTGATATCTCGCTTGTTGTACTGGGTCTCCTCGTATCTTCGTTCTTAGCAGAAAGCTTTGGCGTATCACTTGTGCTAGATTTTCTGTCATCAATCTTAACATGAAGCTTGGGATGATGCTTCTTATCTTCCTTCTCGGTATTGGTTGACTTTGAATGTTCATCCTGATCACTCTTTGGTTCAGCAGCAACACTGATGGCTTCTTCACGAGTATTTCTGAGGTCAATCATTATCTTACCCAACAAACGACGAGCAATCTGAACGAAAAGAAAGATAATGTAGCATATTGATAGGGAGTAAAATACAATTTGATGTGGAGCCTGGAGCGAATAAAAATTTTCTAAAAAGATCAATGTACAAGAAGCAATGTACCAACCGAGAAACTAGGGAGAATGCATATAGAATATCTACTACTCTAGCTCATGGTATTTCTGATGTAAAGAGTAATACGAAAGGGGCATGCTGACAGGAAGGCTACCTTTGAACCAATATTGAGTTTCTGTGTTGGATTAATGCCATACTCATTTGGGATGACTCCATCTGCAAGCAACTGCAATTACCACAGAGGAGTCAGTCTAATTTTGATGACCGAATCGTTTGAAAAGGAAGCCGTGATGCTCAAGAGCAGAATATGAATAGCCCAGTAGGCACATTTGCTATACAATAAAAGCATCTTGGCTCATGACTACGACTTTACCTGAGCAATTTTGAACAGCTCATCCAGACCTTCCAGATTAAGATGTGCATTATGCAGGAGATCGTATCTGTCAAGTAATCACAGATCATATAAATCACATTCAGCCAACAAAAAAAACCTCAGGACCATTGTAAGAAAATTGGCATCAGGAGATAAATTTTGGATTGGCATTCCCCTACTTCTGGCTTCCCATATCAAACTTTATGATAAATGTATAGTCCCAGATGAGCTACGTTGGACAAAACCACGTGATAAAATAGAAGAAACCACAATGAGCCTACTTCTCTATGCAGCCATTAACAAGATTCCAAATTCTCTTGTATAGTTAGATTGGACTGGAATCCAACTTAGAACTTTTACAACAATGATGCAGCAAAATAATCACACATAAGAGTAGCTAATTGCATAAATTTGGTATATTATCTAAAAAGAGATGAAAACTGACAACTCACTTGCACGAGTCGTAAACATCTGGAATTTGTGTTAAGTCGAATCGTCTGCCAGTAAAACCAATGTCAACAAAACTGTCAGTCTATCCATATTACACTCCTTTTCAAGAAATAAAATCTTACTTTGAGCAATCGCATCATTTTGAGCGACTATATTATTACATAAAGTACTAGGTAATTGTCAATTGAAAAGAATACAAGAGTTGAATATAAACAAATTTAAGAGTTTGATGCAAGAGTTGAAAAGAATAAGAGAGTTGAAATACAAAAGATATTTCATAACTTCAAAAGAACCGTTGCATCTTTTATGCCCCGTGTGGCAAAGAATTTGAATAAATGCAACAATAATCAAATTAAAATAAATATTAAAAACAAAAAAGATGTTCTAGAACTTACTCTTTTCGTTCACTGTACAAGTCCTTTGCAAGCTTTCTCCATCGAGCATACATCAAAAGGAATCCCTCACTACCGCATGGTAATCCAGCAGCAATACGATCAACATCAATGTTAGTCTTACCAAGGGCCCTTGCTTGGTCATAAGGAAGTGTTACATCATCTGAGCTTGTCTTTGTAAGTTCCTCATTTTCATTCTTTGCTAGCAGTCGTACTTGTTCAGTGACCTTCTTAGTCAATTTTACCTATTCAACGGATACGAAACATTAAGAGAAAAAAAAAGGGGCGGTAAAGTAAGGATTATTTGGAAAGCTTTAAAACAGAACTGTTGCAATTGTCATAATTCATATAGTCTATATTAGCATGCTACTAAATGAGGAATAACAGACTTGATACGAGGACAAATAAAACTGTAGGTAAGGAAACCGAATGCAATTACCAATTTAGGTAGAAGTTCGGAAGCATCTAAAGGCAGACCACCTCCATCAGCCATCCAAGGAGGTGTTGCACTGTTATTACCCGTCTTTAAACCAGAAGTAATAATCTCATTCAACCTAGCCTGCAGGGAAAGTATGTGAAAAAGAGAATCACATGATCACATAATTGTTAAAGAAGAAGCATTCTCAATTATGGGCTCCCCCACACCGAAAACTAAAATAAATCAACCTGTGAAAATGATAGACAAACCTTTGCTTCGTCCATCTCAACACTTGCATTGTCTAGTCCATCCAACATAGAGGAGTCCTTGCTAACAAGGGAAACCTTAAGAAAGGGAATAAATTCAGTCATGCAGCTCGACTTCCGAAAGCAGTCACAATTATGTAAAAAAAAAAACTACAGACCAGGATTGGTGTTAGCTGCCCTTCAAGATCAAGTAGGCCTTTAGCAAAAGCAGCGGCAGACATCTGTAAACAGATATATTGTAAATAATGTAACTCATCAATGATGAAAATTTCAGGGGTTAATGACCATAACAATTAGGAAATTCACTTCATTTAAATAGAGATCAAATTTCACAAGAAGAAAAAGGGAGGACTATATAAAAACTATATAAACCCACGATCACTAATGAGACTATACCTGCACACGGCCCTCATCAGAGCTGTAGATTTTAAGATCATGACGATAGGTGCTATGGAGGCGAAGCAGGCCGGTACCTTCACCTGCAATTGTGTACAAATTTATTATGAGAAGTACCCAAAGAAATAATTCTAAAACGAAGTAGCACTGTGAGCAACTTTGTAGAGGCAAAGCTGACGATATCTTTGAAGAAAATAATAATAGCGAAAAATCAAAATCTTCAAGATATACGTACTCCAGTAAACAGGCATACAAGTTGATACTAACAAAAAATGAAAAAGAACTGTGACTATTACCTGGATACATATTATTCCGAAAATATCTACCCAGCTCCTCAGCCTGCAAACAAGTGAAAGAAGAAAAGAATAAAAACAAGAAGAATGAATATAACACTATGATTTTAGGACAATGAGGGCTCTTAAATTACAATCTAGAAGTCCATGAACAAAACAAAAATCAATCAATACCTGCTTCCTTCCAGCATGTGTAAGGACACCCCCATATTTAAGAACCATCAAAGCTTCAACTGGGCGTTCTTCCTCACCTTCCCCATTACTTTTTGCCACTTTAACCCACTTTAATGGCTTTAGTTGAACCTTCCTATAAATGCCAGAGAAATGGCCCCCCTTGATAAACATAAGCATGAAAACAGCACATGATTATAACCATGATGCAGTATAACAGTGTATCAAAACAATTCTGAAGTACAAGATTAAGACATTTTGGCAACTAGTCAATCTTTATATGACACCGATCCAGTACAATTAGCTTCATTTAGCACATCGTTTCATCCCGATTTTGAGTATCAGTAATTAACTCAGATGATACACTGTAAGTAATCTTATGAAAGCAATCCAGATTGATTTATGAAACGAATGTTCAAGTACAAAAAAAGTGAGCATTCCCCTGATAGTTTGTGGAAGTAGTAGAAGTGTTAGACTAGAAGCCATTTCACTTTCTGTTGAGAATTGCATGACAAAATGAACAGATAAGCAATAAACTCATATTAGAATTATAACACAGGAACCTATAAAGCACAAAGGTAAATTCAATTTGTGATGAAAAAGAAGTAAGGAGAAATTATAACTAATTACATTGAATTACAAAAAGCAGAAATTCCAAATAAAATAGATACCTCCTCAAGCACTGCTTTAACTTGACGAAGCTTTTCAGCATGTTCAATGTCTTCTGCCTCACTATCACTTTCTCGACCTGGTCTAGACAATGTAAGGAGTCCTCATTAATTAAGAACCCTCACCAGTGCAATCATATGAGAACCAGCTAACAAAGATAATTAGGGTGTTTCCTGATATGACTTTAAACATGAATTTCAAAGAATGGGAAAAGGGGTAAAAGGTGAGTTTCACACGATTAGATCACCAATTATTTGTTAACTAAAATAGGAAGAAAATTTAATCTTAAAATAGATACCTGGTACGAGGTACTAGCATTCGTGTGGCATCTAATAAATCTTGCAATTGGACAGCACTTTTCAATTTCGTCTGCAAAATGAGAGCCAATACCAATGGTCAGTTTATACAATATGTTGATCAAAATAAATGACAAGGTCTAAAAGGCAAAATCAATCACCTCGGATCTAGGTCGTCCACCATTGTACTTAAGCATCAAGTTTAGCAGCTTTTCCTCAGTAACCTTCAGCTTTACCTTCTGTTTGGGAGTTCTATCACCACTGTCAAAGCAAAACAGAGATGAGAAGAGAAAACAAGCAAATCAACTAAGTAAAAAAACTGAGAGAAATAGACATACTGACGAATGATAGCAATAACACAACGTAGCTCCTCCGACTGCCCAAATGTGCCAATGATTCCACTTCCTTGACGAGTTAGTCTCTCAGTAGGTTGGCTTGGTTCATTGACTTTCCATGGTAATGTTGGTGGAATTGCAGAAGAAAGATGAGGGGCCTTGGCATCTAAAAGTAACTTCCTGAGCACACAAGCAGCATCATCATAATACCTGTATTGCAAAGTAACATCATTTATTTTTGTGACCACACAGGAAAAACCGGATTTAGAGCACCTTCATGATTAATCAAATCATTATAAAGAAATTTACTTGTGAGAGTTCTTTACGAAACTCCATCCATTTACGTCACAAACATAGGAGCGTCCCTCACAGCGCAAAAGGTCAAACCCACAAACCTGCAAAAAATTGGAAGAATTAAAAAGTACATCCCAAACATGTGAGATTAATGAAGCTCTCAGTACGTTCACAGTATCAGAAGACAAACTTAACTACTGGAACACAAGAGAATACTAAAGCAACATCAAACCAGTTACTGCAACTAATAATTAGCCTTGTAACATCCAGACTATTTGATACCACATTTGAGTTACATACCGCTTGCCTAAATGCAATGCAGACCTCCCTTGCCATTTGCTTCTCAGTGGGTGTCAGTAAAACAGGATACCTCACCTGTCAAACGAATTAACAAGCAAACATCACTCTTTCAACCCTCATTTGGCAGTAGCAATGTATCAATTCACCCAGTATTTCCTGCTTGCAGCATTCTATCTGCTTTACCAAAAACAAACCTGGCCCAGACACCATCTACGTTAAGGATTGGTCATTACATCATTGGTTGAACCGGGCAATATAATAACTTTCATTCTAAATATGTAAAGAGAATGTCTATCAACATTGGTATTCCAAAGCAACAAGGAAAAATTCACCACTGGAAATAAAGAATTAACAAGATTACAAGAAATTGGAAATCAGAAATTCAGATGAGAGAGAGACAGCGAGAATAATCAGCCGAACAAGAAGAACAACCAAACATATCTTACATACAGTACTTACTTCCTTGCCATCAGGATTTCTCATGACAACACCATCAACAACAGGAGACTTCCTTGCCTCAGCATGTGCATATTCAGGTCCCACTGTATACACCTGTATTATTTGACAAGAAGAGAAAAATTATTTATTAAGGACATTTAAATGTTGGAATATACAACCAAGTTAGAAGAAAATAATGGCCTCAAACATTGAAAATGCACAGATAGAATTGTGTAAGTAGTCTATTCTAAATGACATGCAACTTGAAATGTTAAGGATGCGTTAGATTAATGAGAGAGAATATAAGGATGCAAAATAGTAAGAAGAATTTTTTTTTTTTCTTTTCTTTTTCTCATGATAGCAATTGACCTTATTATCATGTGAAATTAAGAATAATGAGAGGTCTCAAACCCAAACCATCCAACCTTGACATCTGTTCCTCCAGTTGGCATGAATTCCTCGTATATATAAGAGCCTTCACGTCTCACTCGTCTAACATCCGGATGGAAATCACTAGATCGGTTACCAACCTAAAATCAGACGATAAAAACACAAATGAACGATCATGGATAATAAACATAGAAATCCTACGAAGTCGTAAAGAGATTAGTCTCAAACTTGATACGCTGCTAGCCACGTGTAACATTTACATATCAGTACTATTTTCGTTTTTTATGTTCAAGGTCAAGGTCAACCAAAAATTCAACCTGGTGACAATAATTTGGTTTGTGTGCAAGAAATAAACTAGAAGCCCAAAGCAAATCAACTACCTAACAGCTATAAGACTTCAGTAAACTTTCTTGTACATGTATTACCTTGCTTTCAAATATTTTTCATATCACACATCCAAACATACAGAAGACACAAACTCTCATTTTGAGCTAACAAATAAGCAGTTAAAACCTCACCTTCCGAAACAATTCCTTCATTCCTCCACCTGCCGAACTGGGATAATATATCATTATACTATGATCATCCCCTTCATAGAAGCAGAAGACAAGAGTCAATAACGTTATTCTTAATATATAACCCAAAAGCAATAACAGGTGCAAAACAAAAAGTTTACAAAAGAAGCAATAATGGATTCTCCTAATGTTTTAGCTGTTGAGTATTGACTAGGTTTAGGGTTTAGCGAAAACAATGTTCAAACAGAAGCATATAAATTTTACCAGCCATAATATAATGAAAATAAATCATATTAAGATAAAACAACTTATTCATAAATGTTGGAAATAAGTTGACCTTCAACAGGCTTCTCTACAAATGGCTTCCAGAAACGCTGACCATGAACCTCAACAAAATCTTCTTCCTCAATAAAATAGTCCAGCTCTTGATAAGGTACTTCTCTATTTACAACGGCATATCTGGGAACAGAGACTCCGTGCATTTCAAGATGCTTCAATCCACAAAAGTAATATATTAGTTACTGACATTCTACTTTTATAACCATAAATATTCGAAACACTAAGTTCATGCATAAAAATACATTTAAAAGGTGTATGGAGGGGGATAATGGAAATCCTTGATAAGACGAAATTCATAACCATACCTCATAAACCTTCCTTCGGTCATGGAGAAGGTGTTGCGGCTCCAACTCATTTACTAGAAAAGGCCTGGATAAAAAAAAACCAGATAGTTAGAGAATAAACAGCCGTCCTTTAGTCCAAATATAACAGAATGGATGAATCAAATAGAACCTGTACATAAACAACAGAGCTTACTTCCTTAAAGCAGCATATGCCTCAGCCTTTTCCAGAGGATAGCCGGAGGAATGAAAGGCAATCAAGCAGTCACAAATTGGCCAGCTGACATACAGTAACAGTGAAAATAAATTAATCACCTAAAATTTATGTATTGCAACAGCCACCAAGTTAATGAAACTAGAAACTATCACCATAACCGAACACGAACATTTCAAGCTGTTTCAATCGCTTCTCAAATTAAAATTATGACCATTACATATATGGTGATGCTATCCACACACCCCCTCCCAATTTCCGGCTGTTGGATTGAATGAATTGACTAAGATCAAAGGACAGAAATTAACAAGGGGTGTGTGAGAGGTAAAAATGAGTGTGTCGATAGCACCACCCTCCGTATAATGTGCGAAAACACATACTATTATGATAATCAAATACGAAAAAATACCTTTCAATTGGATCTTCAAGAATGACTCTATCCCTAAAATGTATGATCTACGAGAACATTTCACAACAAGACATGTATAAGATTATGGCATAAAATCGACACTGCGTATATATTTGCACAATAAAACGATCAACAACACAACACAACACTTCTTAAAACTTTTTCGATACGTAAACATAATAATCATCCGTAAAAATGGATAATTAGATCGAACTCGCAAACAAGAACAATTTCGACACGAAAATTCAATGAGAAAACAAAATCAGCACCTCAAATTCGCCAAACGCTTGCAGCCGTTCGAGAATCTGCCCCATGGGCGCCGAAAACACCTGCAGAAAACGAACAAGTTCATAGCATACATACATTGTTCAATATACATACATGATTGCTTTCGAAGCGTACACAAAGTGAGCAAAAAGGAAAAGATGAACCTCGGGGCCGCATTTCACCTTCTTTTCCATCACACAAACTCCAATCTTTATCTTCTCTCCGGTTTCTCTCTCCTGCTCCTCCTCCATCTCTCTCTCTCTCTCTAACTCTTCACTCCCACAGCTCAAATCCGAAGCAGAACAACGAAAGCTCGTCAGCCGCCGTTCGACCACAGAAAGCCGCTATATATACACGAATACGTGTACGTATACGTCTATGTCTAGGTGCATGCCAGGAGTGTGGAGATCACCACATGTGCAAATACGGCAGAGTTTTAACTCGGAGCTCCGACTCAGTTGAGCGAGTCACGAGGTGCTTTAACGGCCAGATGATTGGAGAGTTTTTTCCTGAACAAATAAAAAAAAGGAAAAAAAAAAGAGGAAATATTATAAGGGATGCGTTTGGAGATAGACATTCTTGGTATCTGGAATATGCAGTCAAAAGGCGGAATTAGGACGTGGAAAGGTTGATGTGTAGCTTTTCATGTCCTTGTCCGGCTCACGGAGCGTTCATGTTCTTGTGCTACTCTTACCGCTACTCTCAAGTTAGCAGAGAAAGTAACCTACCCTAGCGGTAAAACCAATTATGCGTTGTTATGTGTTTAATCGATGTTATGGTAATAATTTTTTAAATCAATTACGTATTGCAGCGAGAAAAGATAAAACAAACCCTTGCAATCCTAACATATCAAGTGCAACAGGGGCAACAACTAAAATCCATTACGAAGTATTGTTGAGAAAAAAATAGAATATAACAGTGCATGATTAACGTAAAATATCGATATGGTTTTGTAATTAAGAGTAATGATATTCATACTATGTTTTTGTATCATATTTCTATACCACCTTAGGTGGCATCTGATGTAAACAGTCACATCATTTTGAAAATTTGCAAAATCCAAGGAAAGGAATGAGAAAACTCATTGAATACCACAATCATCATTTAATTAATTAATTTTTCTTAATTATTAGTTTATTAAATAATGAACTAAATTTAAAAATCTGATTAATTCAAATAATATATCTGTCCACATCAAATACTACCTAAAATGATATAAAAATATGGTACAAAAACATGATTATACGAATAACATTACTTATTTCGGATATGGTCCATTTGTTAAACTAGATTAATTCTTTTGGACATAAATTTAGTACTATGATTATAAATTTGACAAGTGGTATGTTGGAGTTGTTGAGTACCTAATACAAGAATATCATAATGCAAAAGTTCCCCAAAAAAGTAATTAATAATACACCTGATTTGATTGGAGCTCCAGAGCTCCAGATTGACTAAAATCCATTGGGTTCTGCCACATTCCACGTATCTTAGTCTTTTTCAAAAATTATTTAATGAGTTGCGATTTTTACATATTTTTAATTACTTTTCTCACACCTTTTCATATTTTTTTAATACTTAATTTGTATCATACTATTTAATCTTTCATATATACCCTTTTCTATTTAATCTTTCATTAATTACCATAAAAAAGTAGGAAGGGTATATATTGAAGATTAAATAGTATGGTATCAATTAAGTATTAAAAAATAGGAAAAGGTGTGAGAAAAGCAGTTAAAGATATGTGAAAATCACAACCCTTATTAAATGTGCACGAAAGATGCATTGAAACATTTCGTGTCGTAACAAGTGAAAATTAAAAAAAAAAATTCATCAATTTATATTATAGAACGTTAAAACTCACATTAAGAAGTTGACAATTCAAAACCACGTAATACAAATAATAATATTTACAATTATTTCAACATGTTATCAATACATTAACGATAGGAAAATGTTATTGACATTCTAAAAATTTCATTTTACATTCTTCACAAATGTATTTTTCTTTCTTAATATAAAAAAATTTTAAATGTAAAATAAGATTTTTGAAATGTTAATAACAATTCTCTAACGATAATATTGATAAAAACATATAATATAATTGAATTTCTGACGTATTTTCTTTTGTCATTTTACTAGATTCATTAGGTTGACCATACTATCTGAACAAGACACATCCCAATATACTATGTAATAATACATTTGCTTGGAATTTTGTAAAAAGATTTAATAAATATTATAATATTTGATATATTGAACTGTGTGCAATTTATTAATTTTTTTACTGTTTGAGACTATGAAAAATCAAAGTACGTAATAATAAATTACAATTGAATTAACACAGTCAACATGGTCAAAAAATATGACGGCTCCAAACTCCAAGCTCAAATCCTGTACCTTCATTTACAAGGATTGTCTGTCCTCCTATTTCCAGTGTTTTCCTGTGCCTTTCTGTTTTGTTCGGTCACGGTTAAGTCACATCAACGTTTTATATTGTTTTTTTTATATAGATAATAAAACAAAAATGAATAGTAATATAAAATGTTAACGTGACTTAACCGTGACCATACAAACAGAAGGGTACCAGAAGTGAAAGGGTAGACAATCCTTATCCTATCTTATTTCTTTGACTTTTCGCTTATGTTCCCAAAACTAGATTAATAATAATCAACACAAATCTCCGATTAAATTGAAGATGATGGCGCAAATGGTCCTCTACTACAATGATGATAAAGAGTATTGTTTTTGCACCACAACGTAAGTTCGAACTCAATGAACTTCCTAATCTAATATCTAATCTAATAAATTTATTATTTGACCAAAAAAGTTTTGACCTTGGTTCAGATGGCCACACTGAAGTTTTCCTCGATGGGAATCCCACCAATCAATTAATCTGAATATTTGAAATTTGATCCACAAACTACAAACAAAGAACCTTTTTAAAAGTTATAATAATTTTAACCGTTAATCAAATTTCAAAAGCCTGGATTAATTAATTAATTGGTGAACTTTAGTAGGAGAGATCCGGAAGGGATATTTTCCCGTTGATAACCTTGGAAGTGACACTGCCACATTAGTGAAAAGACCACTAATGTCTCTTCAAACCCAAATTAAAAGGTTTTGACAAAAAAAAAAAAAAGGCAACTGGTTGAGATTTTGTTTGTCTCACATTACTAATCAACCATTCCACCTAATGCAACTTTCAGGAAAGAGATTTTTCAATGTGCCGAAAATACTTCTCGATACATTAAGTGTTTGGATACTTAAAAAAATACAGAATCATATTTCCAACACATCCAAAACTTTCTCCTTTCAAACACATAAAAAGCCACTTTAAAGAAAAGCTTCGACCAAAAAAAAGTAAAAAATAGAGAAAGAAAAAGCACTTTGTACAGTGGAAGCACATAAAGTTTGTCTGCTAAATCAACGCAGACATATTTGTTCATGACTCAGATCAGACTGACTATCGAAATTGTTAGGTAAGGAAAAAAAAAACAAGGGGAAACTTTCACGTTTTAATTAGGTCTACCGCCATCACCGACAGCCTCTTCATCTGGACCATCTGTATAGCACCAGACCAATTAAATTAGATACAGTGTTTACGTGCAAATACGTGTGTGTTGTGTCCTGTAGTTTCCTGATATGAGCAGTTGAGTACCAAGAATTGCTTACCAAGTTCCGTCGCGAAGGTAATTACTTAACTGCTAACCGCCCGTTTACCTATGCTAGTTCCTGCAATGTATCCACCAGACCAAGCATTCTGCAGCAGAAAACAGGCCGGGCAGGAGAACCGAGTAACAGTTAATTAAGCGAATAGATGATAGACAGCGAAGATGCAGTTGCTAAGTCCTACATGACGTTAGAAGTGCTTTTATAAAAGAAGTTCTTTTACCTGAAAATTGAAACCACCAGTGATGCCATCAACGTTCAGTACCTGAAAACAGACATTACTTTTTAGCACAATAAGTAGGACACTGGTGTGTCTGTGTGTGCATACAGAAATGCAAGTGCGCATTATTTCTTCTTTGCTTTGAATCTTTTGATGAACAACATATTTCCATGGATACTACCTCTCCAGCAAAGAATAGACGCGACTGGATTTTGCTTTCCATCGTATTCAGCGATATCTTAACAAAAGCGAGAAACAGAATTACACTTCCAATGAACATGACAGAGAAGAGGGAGAAAGGGAGAGTGGCCAAGAGAGGGGGAGACCTCAGAAAGTGGAACACCGCCGGCAGTGACAAATTCATCCTTATATTGACTCTTCACCATGAAAAGAAGCATATATCCTTTCAGTAAAAGATTTGTTTTTAAGGAAAGAAACTGCGGGTGCAAAGTAGGGTCACAGAACCCTACCTTTCCGGTAACATAAAAGTTACAATTCTTTAACATATGCGCAAGAGAAATTAATGAGTTCTTTGAAATGGAAGCCCACAAGGTATCGTCATGTAATTCCTACACATGAAATAATGAAAAGCAAAAAAACAAAAATCTGTAAGGCTAATTTGTCTATTAAGAGTCCTGCAAAACATGATGTTGAAGCTCGGAACAACATCAAACCTGGCGGCCCAATAAATATATCCAAAATCTCTTCACAAGGCCAAATTCTGAAGGATATGAATTGGAGAGTTTATGCTTCTGCAAGAGTATAGGCAACAAACAAGAGAGGGAGAACTATTTAGAGCACGACAAATCACAATGGCATAACACAAAAGTGAGACTATTTAGAAGAAAATTAAACATTGTGTCACAATCATAACATAAATGAATAAATAAACATGAACACAAAATAGATTCGTAATCCAGTGTGCATAGGTTTCCTAATTTCAGAAGTATTTGTAAGTGTTAGTCCACCTTCTTACGAATAAAGTTGTCTGCGCTCTAGTATACAACCCACCTAGCCTCATCATTGCCCATAACAAAACTAGTTACATAGTTCCACTTTGACCATGACTTTGATTAAGGAAGCAATAAGACTTAAGAGCAAGGATTACCGCAAACTTATTTTTGTGTTGTGTGACGATTGACTTCAGATCTTCTATATGCACGTCAGGTGCGAAGTCTAAAATAAGATTCCCTGCATTCAATTGCTACCAAGTTGAGAAACAACATCACAAATGTAATGAAAGGACGTGGCCAGAACAATTAAATAAAAAGAGAAGAATTTCCTTGCCTTTGTATCCTGAACCAGCTAAAACACAGGCACCCCAAGCAGATAACCGAAGAATTGCAGGCCCACTAAATCCCCAGTGTGTGACTAGTACAGGTCCAACCTGCAGTTCCGAATCTTTAGATATGACACATGAGTTATTGAAAATTTAATGATGGGAACAGATATAACATGCCTGTGTAAGCTGTGGTATATTCCTCCGGGCATTCTCTATTTTCAGTGTTGCCTTAACTTTAGGGAATGTAATCTGAAAGTTAAAACAAGAAGGTTAAGACCCATACACAAGCTTGATTCTCTCGAGTATGCATTTTTCGTAAGGAACATAAGACAATGATGGTTACAACTGATATGCAGTAAGCAACGGATTTTGATCATTATGAAAGATAATCACCCCCGACAAGTCTCTCAACTGTGGATCTTCAATCTTGAAAGTAAATAAGCTTGGTACTGGATCTACAATTGAATGACCAAGCTGAGATGCAAGACTGTAACCCTGCGATGAGAACGAAGGCATATCAACAAACTTAATCCATCAACGTGGCAGTAAAAGGGAACACCAATTTATCACAACCTGCTTGCTATTACCACTGGCAATCAAAAGATAATCAGCTTCAACATATTCGGGAGAACTGAATGTACGATTTTCAACCCCCAAAAGGAATTTCCCTCCATCAGTAGAAGATGCAGTTACCACAGCTTTTCCAGTCTGAAGAGAAACTGGTTGAGGAACTCAAATTCAGCACAAACAACTTGCAAGTTATCTTACACGTCTATGAAATGACAACATACTCGGTGACTGCAGAATTAACTTCTTTCAAACTATCATGTCATACAAACCCCCGTACAACTTTTCAAGGCGTAATAGTCGGTCTAAAAAATAACATATCTATCTTAGAAGTAGCTCTGTAACGAGAGCCACATAAGCATAAATAAAAAGGAACAAATGGAAATATCAAACAGCACCACCATTGAATCAGTGGAAAAACATACCTCCCAACCGTGTCGATTCAGACATGAGACAATCAATTATCGTAGACGAACTGTTGCTGACAGGAAATACCCTTCCATCATCCTCAGTCTACAGTTCAAAGAGCACAAATTACACATTCAACACAAAATACATTAAAAACAAACTGACATCATGTAACTTCGTATGCAAACCTTCAGCTCAACCCCTTGATCAGAAAACCAGGACATGGTATCCGCTGGCCCGTGCGTATTGAAGAACGCTCCCTTCAATTCTTTATGACCCCTAGGGTAATTTTCTGCCAAAACCTATCGCCAAGAACATCATTCTGATACCAAAGTATTTATATAAAGATGCTCTAATCTCAACTCAAAGAACCCATGTTTATATTAATTACCATAGTATCGACACAATGCCCATTCGTCACATTGCATCGGCCTCCTCCAGAAATTTTTACCTGCCAACAATAACAAATTCGATAACAAACCAACTAATTAGGCATCATCACCTCTACTTCGTGCCTCGGAATCCTCTCCCTCGTTGATTAGAGTAGTTTAAAACATCGTCTTCGCGGAGAAAACAAAAACAAACCTTGGATAAAGGTCTTCCTTTCTCAATGATGACTACATTGAGATTAGGAGCTAGGGTTTTAGCTCTAATTGCTCCATAAACCCCAGCTGCTCCACCCCCAACAACCACCAACAGCTCTTCACTTGCCTACCCAATAAAAATCTCAAACAAATAAGACCAAAAATTAACTTAAATTAAATTAAATTATTTAAAAAAAAAACCATAAAATTGTCTGAGAAACAAGGTTTGAAGAACAAATTTTATCATGTTACCTTGTTTTGAGCTGTGGGGATGGGAGTTGAAGTAAATTTATTCTGTTTGGGGGTTGAAATAAGAAGGCCATTGTTTTTGGCGGAGACCGTCGCTTCCGAGCGGACTCTAGAGTGACGGACGGCGGAGCGCGCCAAGTGAAGCGCGCCAAAGTGAAGCGCGCCAAGGTGAAGCTCATAGGCACTCCTCCTGTATATTCGATTTTACAGTACGCCACTGCAACCGTTTGCTGTGAAGAAGCAAAACATAGGTAAGGTGGGATGACGTGGCACGAGTCAATTAGAAAGAGCGTGAATTGACGATTTCATCCCTGGATTTAATCCGAGTCAAAAAGTCCTTGAACTATTTTCCTCTATACTTCAAAGGTTTCGATCCAATCTAAACCACCAATTTTCTATCGGCTAATACTAAAGAGATTAAATTTATAAATTAAATTTACAAGCTAAATGATGTGTTATTAATATGAATAAGAACGTTTATTAACACTTAAGTCATAATCAAATCATTAACTATCATGTCATTTAGTTTATAAATTTTGGCTACAAATTTAGTCCCGCTACGTTTATCAATGCTTAGATCATAATTTAATCATCAACTTTCATGTTAATTAGTTTACGTCACTCAGTACTACAGTCTGGTGATATTCCTCTCCACTTGGAAGTAAGATGTCTTAAGTTTAAATTTCGTAGATGGCGAATTCGATACCAAATTAAACTGCCCATTGTATAGCTTAGCCAAACTCCTCTCCCCTTAGCGTAAAAATATCGATGTACTCAGTGGCAAAGCCAGAATCTTGCTTTACAGGGGGCCTTTCACAAATCTAAAACTTTTATTTTTAACGCCTAAGATATTGTGTAGGTTGATTGTATTTTTATTTATTTATCTCAAATAGCATCGACCATATATTCACTTAATCCAAATAATACTTAAGAGCAGAGCTTAAAAAGAGAGACAAACGATCGACTAGAAGTTCAAGCCAACAGTCCTTAGCTTAAAAGCAATTAGTGATAAATCCTAACTATTAGATTAAGAAACTGTGCTCGAAAACTCCGACCTAGATTAATCTCCTCCACCCAAAGGGGAACTTGAAGTAATTAACAAGTAGAAAAAGGTACATCATTATACGTAGAGAATCTCTTATCTAGGGACTCCAAGATTGCAACTAAACTTACTAGAAGCAAAAGGAGTTTATGCTATATCTTATACATAGCTAAGATAATAAAAAATTGCAGGATAGGCCTACGACTTCCCTAGTCCCGTAATGGCTCCACCATTGGGAATTTGGATGTACTCAAACAAAAACATGTCATTTAGTTTACAAATTTTGTCTCACTAGCATTATCCTATCGTAATTTTTTTTTTTTTAAATACACGGTATTATTTACACTAAAGAGAAGGAGGAGAAGGGATGAGCTTAGCCTCACAATAGACTAGCAATAATATGGTTCAAATTCGCCTTTAGCAAGAATCAAATCTAAGACGTCTTACTTACATGTAAAGAGAAATACCATTAAAAGGTAGTCGTATCCTATCGTAAACTTTAAAGCTATTCGATTTAATAGTCTATCAGTTTGAGTTGTAGGGACGTCCTTGCTTCGCCCCCTACTCGTGCATACTTTCTGTTGGCAATTTCTTAAACACGTAGAAGCGCATGAGCCAACTCCTCTATACTACACAGGCATGGAGCCGCTGCATGTATTTAGCACAACGCTGCACCAGCATGCTCAATCTCCGAGCCACCCACGCCGTCTTCGTCACCTCCGCCGTCCACCTCAACACCTACGCCGTCAGCAAACTCATCGCCTTCTGCGCATTATTCGACTCCGGCAACCTCCCGTATGCGTCTCTTCTCTTCGAACAAACCCAGACCCCCAATTTGTACATATACAACACTCTCATTAGAGCATATTATCGTAGTTCTGAGCCGCATTTGGCGATGTATTACTTCCATTTGATGTTAAAACAGAGCGGCTTAGAACCCGATAACTATACGTTTAATTTTGTGATACTGGGTTGCGTGAATTGTTCTTGTCTAGTTTCGGGGAAGGAAATTCACAGTTGGGTGGTGAAAAATGGGTTGGTTTTGTTGGATGCTCATGTTCAGACTGCGCTTGTTAGATTGTACGCTGAGTGCAAGGTTTTAGATGATGCCCAGAAGCTATTTGATGAAATTCATCAGAGAGATGTTATACAGTGGAATGTTCTTGTGAATGGGTATTTGAAATGTGGGTTGGCTTCCAAAGCTCTGGAGGCTTTCCGGGAGATGTTGGTATGTGGGTTTGAGCCTGATGACTTTTGTGTTGCTACAGGGCTCGCGGCTTGTGCTAATCTGGGGGCTCTTTGGCAAGGGAAGTGGGTTCATGAGTACGTTAAAAGAGGAAAGAGTTGAAGTCAGATGTGTTTGTTGGGACTGTGCTCGTTGATATGTATGCCAAGTGTGGTTGTATTAATTTGGCCGTGGAAGTCTTTGAGAGAATGTCGAAAAGAAATGCAGTCTCGTGGGCAGCCATGATTGGAGGTTTTGCAGCACACGGATATGCAACTGAAGTGTTTCATTGCTTGGATAGAATGCAGGTGGTGGATGGCCTCAGGCCTGATGAGGTGGTCCTTCTTGGAGTGCTAATGGCTTGTACTCATGCAGGTCTCCTCGAGAAGGGCAAGTCTTTGCTCGAAAACATGAAAACTCAATATGGGATTGTGCCAAAACATGAGCATTATAGCTGTGTTATAGACTTGCTCTGCAAGGCAGGTCAGCTAGAAGAAGCACTTCAGCTAGAAGAATGCCCATGAAGCCACTTGCTTCTGTCTGGGGTGCTTTACTGAGTGGGTGCCGAGTCCATAAGAATGTTGATCTTGCAGAGCTTGCTGTTGAAGAACTTCTACAGCTAGAAAATAAGGACAGCGAAGAAGAAGCTGGTGCTTATGTTCAGTTATCAAACATTTATTGGGTGCACGGAGAAGTGAAGATGCAGTTAGGATAAGGAAGATGATCGGTGAACGAGGAACGAATAAGACACCAGGATGCAGTATGATAGAGGTGGATGGAAAAGTTAATGAGTTTGTTTCAGTAGATGTATCACATTTACACCGAGCACAGATATGTGCTATGCTGGAGCTGATATCTGCTGACTTAATTCAGGATTGAAGGGTCTGCATACCTATTGTTAACACTTCTGGTCCTTCTGGATTGCGATTCGTCAAGGATTATGACTTCTCGTTGCCCGTCGGTACTTGCCATAAATTATTGCTGCTCAAATGTTCTCCTCAAAGTTTCAAGCTTTGTGAGCCTCGCTTGCCACTAGGTTATGTCTGACTAAAAGATGCATGGTTGACTTGATGAGATTGATTGGGAAATATCCTCATCACTCTGAATGAGACAGAAAAGGGTGCGTAAAATTCTTAGGGGACCAAAACCGCACAACAACGTCATGTCTAACCTGTTGTGGAACTTGCCTAGTGCTGCTCTGCTAGCAGGCCTGTATAAAGGGTCAAGGTTAGGGATGGGCATATACTCATTGGATATGGGTAGCTGCGGTTATCTGTCCTATTTAAATTTGACGGTTACGATTATGGAGAACTGTTTAGATAAATAAACGGTTATGGATATAACCGTTTATCCGTGAAATTTAAATGAGCGGTTATGGGTATTACCCACGGTTATAAACGGGTATCCATTTAACAGTTTATTTTAATATATGTAAAACTAAAATAAATAAATAAATTAGTTTATAACTAGGTTTAGTATCCCGCGATATATTTCGTTATAAAATGCCATATAATATATATATACATATATATATATTTATGCCTCACTTGAGAGAAAAATATAGTTGATAGAACGGGCTAATGTTTAATATATATGATTAAATGTGCTAAAGTATTAGAGTGTTCGATAGTTTTGTTTTGAAGTCTTTTGAAGTTTTGACCAATTCAAGATAATGATTACCTTAAGTATTTAGAAGCATGTTATTATCAGATGACGCGTACCTATATATATTATCAAAGTTGTTAGAGATTGAAGTGAAACAGGAGCCATGTATTATTCTGTTTATTTTCTTCACTAGTATCAGATAAGAGAAATGAACATAGAGAGAGACAAAAGAGGAAAACATGATTATTACTTTCTGCTTTTCATCTTTTTGTACTACTCATACGATACAAGCATACGTCTCTTTTAATGCATGTAAAAGGCTTACACACCAAAACAATAAAAACCAAACTTCTACTATTTAAGGAATATAATTTTGACTTCTATTCTTCCACTTTTCACCCTTAGCCATATGTGGTTGTTTTCTTTATGTGGGCATTCACACCAATTTCACAACAAAAATCATTACTTGAGTATTTATAGTCTCAACAACTATTAATGTTAGTGAGATACAATTCAAGAATTAATTACAAAAAAAAACAAAAAGACACAACTTTGTATTACTTGTAGGGAAAGTAACCCCATTATTTTTCTTAAAAAAGACACAAGGTACGGAGAAATATCATCAGAGTAATTTCTAAGCCTATCTTTTCTCTTTATGTAGCTTCACCCTTCTCTCTCCTTCAGTTAAATTTAGGTCACAACGCATTGTTAAACACGCTCCTGACACTGGGCTAAGAAACTGAATGCTTGTTTACTACAAAGTCATTCACAATATTCATCAAGCAATCCAAGTAATCTATAAAACATGGTTTCAATTTCGATATTTTTTCAGCAATGATTGCATGAAACATTCATCCAGGAAGCATGAACTCTAATTTTACCTTTTTTTTTTTTTTTTTTTCAAATTATAGATTCAGCTTAAATTTATTGTTCTTATAATTGTGGTGAATTGAATATGCGTGAATAAGAGAAGAAAAAAAATGAGATTTTTCAAACCCTACACGCATAAGAGCCGCAGCCTGAAGCCGCGTTGCCCAAGTCCACTAAGTCGTTCCTGCTCCAAAACTCTAAGGTCCAAAACAAAGCTGTTTTGCATCACCTTTCTTACGGACCTGGGCTGCTTGCAGTTGACTTGCAACCCAATTGGCATATGCACCAAACCGTCCCACTTTTTTTTTTTTTTTTTTTTTTTTTGGCTCGCATGAAATAACAAGCCCATGGGTTAGGCCTTATTTTTCATTTTTCCTTCTTAGCCCAATAATTGGGTATATAATTTGTTAACCTATTTACTTCTCCTTTATTGCCCAGCAACCCAACAACCACTCT